CAACTTGCCAACTGAACAACATAAAATAATTTGTGATTGAAATGAACGGGAAGTAAATGGCTTCCAACAATAATTTCTTGCCAATCAAAGGTATAAAATATCCCAACGGTCAATTCCACACACTCACTAACTGTGACATTAAGTCTATAATCATTTAGAAATCCCAAACTATCACCGCAAACGGCAGTCTTTCTATGCCATCGACACTTCTTCTTGGCGCAGAGAGAGAGACGCATTCCATCCAATTACAACATGTTTATTAGCTGCACTGATCCTATTTAGTATCAACCACTCAACCGTGCCATTCGAATGCATTCTACCCGATCAGAAGCCATACGCGCAGCGATTAGGTGGAATTTAGATAAACCCGAACTGCGCATTTCGATTTCAACCAAAGATATGCATTCCCAAGAGGGAGACAATGTGACTAATCTGTACACTACTTTTCACGTCTCTGACACTTCTCAGCAGTTTCAGAACAGATTTACTATTGAATAAAGCGAATAATGAGGCCAAGATCAGCATTTTGAGGCATTTTGTAATATTTTGGGCTAGAAAAATCAATCTTATTGCTTTTTTTAGGTTATGTGATTGTTTTAAAACCTCTAAAACCGATTCTGGTGATTCAATAACACTTATAATCGAATATTTTCCTTTTTCTCGGCAAATTTGAGCATTTGTGTGCAAAAAAGCTTCAGATTGAGTGAATTTTAAAGGTTAGAAACGGCTTCAAAGTCAATCATAACCTCAAAAATGTCATTTCAGTTTGGAAAAAAGTCTCTTTGCTGAGTTCTTTTAACAGTTTGTGCTTCAAAATGCTGAATTCAACTATTATATTCAATCATTTCCAAGGTTCAAAGGATTTAATTAGCACAAAACCACATAACGTCACAATTCGCTTAGAATTCTTCTAAGCATTTTCCAAAGATAAAACTAGCAAATGAAGACAGAAATTATCTTTAAGCAAATCCTGAGTTCGAAATGCATGTAAGAAACAGTTGAAGGAGTCTAAAAAGCGATAGAAAACGTCTTCAAGACGTTTAGGAGTGTCTGAAGTGTTAATAATTCTGCACAGCACAACTGAAATTCCGAAGCGTCGCTGAGGGGTTAAAATCACGGAGTTCATCTTATTTATCAATGAGCTGCATTGCTCAGGTTACAAAGTGACTAAATATCTTGTGGTAAAAAGAGGGAACGACAAGATACAGGGATTATGCGTTCGTGGTTTTAATTACCACAGCTTCTATATGGTTCATAAATGGTTGATGGGATCGACATTTAAATACATTTACCGTGTGATCATCGTAAAAGAGCGCGAGATACAATTTCTCTCATTTATTTTCCGCCAATAATTTGCATTTCCTTCTTCATAGTCTCTCACTTCTTGTGAAATAACTGACAATCTCACTTCACTGGAATTTCATCAGCATCTCAGCGTTTTTCTGCACACCTTGCCGCGCCTCTCCTCTCCTCTCCTCCTCGTCCCGTGGCGCGGATACTCTTTCCTTCGTCGCATTGTGAGACTCTCCGTGCGACGAACGATACAAATTTTTTCCGTGACTGACACAGATCGCAGAGTCGTGATCACCAATTTCAGTTCGGATAGCGCTCGAAAGTGATATCAAATTAGTCATGTAAGGATATCGTGTGATATACACCTGAGGATGACACACGATCGTCATCGCCAATGGACCACCCAAGATTCCCAGGCGCGCGGCTCTCTTCCTCTCTCGCGGCTGCGATCACAGAATCAATCGCGCATGTAAGAAATTAATTTCCCTGGTCTAAACAATACAATTAATTAATACGAAGTTGTATCCCATTTTCTCCCATTATTACATGATTAATTAGTCTATTTCGTAATTTTTGTAATTAGCTAGGAAATTCTCCATCAATTTTTCTTCATATATATATATGATAAAAATTATGGCATTTCACCTCAATCGAAGAAGTGTGAACCTCTGGTAAATACATAAAACAATAAATTAATTTTGTGTTATATTTTTCTTCTTCGTCATATATATGTACTTCTCCTCAACAGCACAACACTTCCTGCTCCACTTTTCCCCCTCCACAGCGCCGCACTCTCGCGCCGATAATGGGTGAAAATGTACACAAGGAAGTGTGCTCATCGCATTTTCTCTACCTATATTTCTCCGTTCCAGTCTCTCTCTGGGCGCCCATTTCACTTCATAGCCAGAGAATTCACTTAATGGAGCTAATTAGTTCATTTCGAAGCAAAATTTCATTTAAGCGCTTGAAGGAGTGAGAAGAAAAAGTGCAGCAAATTTATGCAATTTGCTTCCACATGGCGGAATGGCACACAGAAATGTGTATTTTGCGTATACAAAAACCCCATTTAACACACGTTGTAGGTGAGTGTGTGCAATGCCGAAGACATGATACGGGGCAGAAGCATTAAATTGCGCGAATTATCATTGTTCAGACGCTGCGCGATTGTGCAATTGGCTCATCGCGAAGGAGTGCGAAAAATTCTCTCTGACTCGGAGGAATCGACAATTGTGTGCACATTTGCCGAAGAATGGTCGTGAGGAGAGGAAAAAATGGCACTTTGCGTGGCCAAGAATCAACCCTGAAGCTACTTGTGAAATTCAACCCCCAATCGGCGATCGCCACTTTCCGCTCTAATTGACACTTATGCTAAATTCAAGTTTAATGTTGATTTGCAGTGCGAGCTTCTCGCTGTCGTGATCCGCGAACGAGAGCCATCATCATAAAGAAAACCCCCAGCGGCCGCTGTCATTGCCGATTATGGTTTCCGCAAACAAGTTTAAGAATGCAAAATGCAAATTGATGCATTTCGCTAAATTGCACACCGCGCAATTGAATATTTTTAGGAGGTGTGCAGAGATATCTCGCTCCGAGGCTCGCATAGCGAGTATGGCTCTGCCATTTTGGTCTAAAAGAGCGCTCAGAAGATCATTTGGGGGGTATTTTCGGCAATCACAAGACAAGCGCTTCTTCACAGTTTTGCGATATGGAGCAATTTTTGGGGGAGAAGAGCAGAGAGACAGCTTAAAGCAAGGCTTGAAGGCATTAAATAACCACCAAAAGTGCGGCATTTTATAGGTGAAATTTGTTAATGAAACATGACTAATTCTCATAACAAAATTTACACATTAATATTGTGTGAAGAAATCAAGACATTAAGCATAATTTAACATTAAGAAAAAAAGTTAATTTTCTCTCTCACTCTTTGGCAGATATTCATACACACATTTCCTCCTTTATGCATTTCTTGTTCATCTCAACAAAAATATATTACTTAATCCCTCTTTTATTTTATAACACAGACTGCACATTATAAAGTTTGCTCTCGCGCCAAACACGAAACCATAATGTGTGAAAATATGTTTATTATTAATTGTTTTCAGTTTTAAAACAATTATGCTGTGCAGAGATTCATTGTTGAACGCGATAGCACAAGTGGCGGAGAAGAGTCGTCCATTGATAGCGGAACAGGGCTTTCTCTCTGTTGTTTCATCTCAATCTCAGCCGCGCAGAGTTATTGGTGAGGTGTATTTTTGCACCTCAAACTGCGGTGGCAAGAGAGAGAAAAGACTCTGCATTCAAGCAATTATTACACAATTAAGACACATCGATGGGAGAATCGACTAATTAAATAATTAAAATTGCCAACAAACACCAACACAGCGACTCTTGCGCGTACATTTAGGTTATCATGTCTCTGATGCTAATTGATTTAATTACAATGAGCTCCAATTTGCAAAAAGGCGAACTTCAATCACCCTGAATTGGGCAATTCTCGGTGCATTTTTCACACACAAACATACAAATGTTGGCAAAGAAATTGCGCCGCCAGAGGATGGATAATAATGCTCACTCTTCTCTCCTCCGCAAACATCTCTCACGACACAAGCGCGGGAGATCAAATCACTTGATCTCCATCGAAAACCGCAATCCGACAATTTGGATTGTAATGCAAAAGTGCGCAGAGGGAGGGAAGAAATTGCAAATACCGGTAGCGAAGGGGCAAAACAGGCAAATAATTTGCATTTTGCGTTGCAATTTGCCGCGGCCAAAATTAAAATCACATCATCATCCGCACAGGGACGATCATTTGCCGCAAAATCAAAGAAGTGCAACGAGAGGCCGAATCGATTTGTGGTTGAATTAGTAGGAATTTTTCCATTATCAATCTTTACTCTCGTCATTCCAATCGCAAATTCTGCGCTTGGACTCATTTCAGGCGCTCACAATATTAAGAAGAATTGAACAATTTTCGTGTGATTCTTGTATTGACGAATGGCGGAATGGAAATCTGGGCGCTCTTGAACGTGAGAATTTTCAAAGAGGCAAATCACATGACGATTTTTGAGGAATCTTAATGTTTTCTAATCAAATAGTCAAATATTTGAGTAAAATAATCAAAAAATGATTATTTTCCTAAGCAAAATTGCAAAATAATCCAAAAATAATCAGAATTTGAATTAAATAAACAATTTTAATTCAAATATTTGAGTAAAATAATCCAAAAATTATCAGAATTTGAAATGAATAAATAATTTTTAATCAAATATTCAGAAAATAATCAGAATTTGAATGAAATAATCAAAATTTGAGTAATAAACACAAATAATCAAGAAAATGATAGAATATTCATAAAGATAATGGTCTCGACTGGCGAGTGACTGACCCCTTGGAATTTTCCAAATGCTCAATCAGTCAGACAAGGGAGAGTTTCCCTCTCTGCACCAAAAACCCAGAGAGACACTCCAACTTAAACGCGCATCTTTAGGCGAATGACTTGTGCAGAAGAGTAACACGCATAAATTGCAAATTCCTGCATCAGTAGCAATTCCTCGACTGAATAGTAATTGATGGCGAAACCTCAATTGTTTATTGGATGTTGAATTGACGCCGCTGCAAACCACCATCGGCCCCGGGCAGATTGATTAGAAAAGCTATCGAAAGTGGTTCAGACTTCATCTTCACTGGCGCCACACTCGATATTCTCCTTCGCACATCCTCAAAAACATTTCACAATTTCTCCCCGCGCGCGCAAATTGCCCAGACACACGCTCTCTCTCTCTCGCTCTGGTCCTTTTTTTTCTTCTTCTTCAACAGCTCCCGAATGGAAGGAGCGCAATTCAAATTAATTGAAGCGTCAAAATTGGAAATGACATTTTCACGTGTCAGAAAATTGCCCACAAAAATGCTCACTTTTGATCATTCACGACAGTATACACACTTTTCCACCCTATTCTCCCACTCGCATTTCATCGCAGAGGAAAAATTGTATGAAAATTTCCCCATCATCTTCTGAATAATCTCTCTTCTCTCTCAGTCATTTTTTTCTGCGTTCCTCCTCCCCATTCTTCCGCCACTTCACACCGCAGAGTGCCGAGACAGTGAGGATATTAATATGGCACGGAGGGCAAAAAAGCAGAAAAATTACTCAATTTTCCTGTGGGATAATAAATGATGGAAAAAAAAGTCTTTGCATCCCTCGAAGGGAGAGAAGAGAAATAAAATGTTAATAGAGAATTAAGTAGAGCGTAAGATGTTCATTAAGGCAAACAACATCCCCAAAATGACCACATTAACAATTTAATTTCCAATTTATAGGATAATCACATGAGCAAATAACCGCCACTAATGCAATACACTCTTCCGCATTTTCCCATCTACATCGCATTACACACTCTGGGCCCAGATAATAAATCAAACCTCCCATGACAGGCGACATATGACACTGTCCTCAACCCCATCGACCCTCGCTTGATGGACTCACGAGTGTGCTAATCCAGAAGCAAATGTATCGGCGACAATCAATTGCCACGTGCACAACTAATCTACTGCAATTCTAATCCCCACAGGACGGCTGAGGTTACACCATCGCCACATGGCAAAGAGAGGAGATCTCTGGCTGTTTGTTGTCCCGCAAAGTGCATTTATTCAGGCCCTATTGTTGCGCAATGAAGTACAATATACTCTACCTTGCAGCACTGCTGGGAGATTTAAACCTCTCAGAGGGTGTTTCTTTGACATTTTCCCCGCAAAGTGCCAGCGTAATTTGTGGTTGATTGTCGCATTTGTCATTTCGCTACGCCTTTCTCTTCCTCCTGCCCGGAAGCATTCCGCTATCGAACTCCGATGTTGTCAAACTTCTGGATTGCGTGGCAAATTTAGCCAAACTCGCACCACCACTTCGCACATCCTCATCAGCATCATCGTCATCCCTTTTTTTTTGGAAATGAGAGAGAAGAATTGTGCTCTTGCAAATTCACTGAAACACTAATGGCAGAAGAAATCACGGTAATTGAGTGTGCAAACTTACCCTTTGTGGCCAAATGTGAGTCGATTGACGGGTTTTTGAGCTTTTGGTGCAGTGAAGTTCCTTGCGAATTTCGACGGCGGCTCCCTGAGGCCCAGACTCTTGGCAAAGTGGCCCATATGGATCTCCCTGCGATTGAAGATGTGCCTCAAGTCCTTGGGGAAGGCCGAATAGAAGCGAATCCACGAGACAAAGGCTAAAATTTAGCAGAAATTGTCTCTCAGCCATCACAAAAGATTAATGGATCAGCAATTTCAAAGCATTTATGTACTTTTTGAAATTTTGAGCGTGTGGTGGAAAAATCGAGCTGTTTTTAAGAGATCCTTCCATGGCCTAGTAATTATAGTGTCACTCCTCGCATGCGGAGCAACCCAATGACAAACGGTCACTTAAGTTGGAATTACACAGTGGAGAAAAAAAATCGATTCAAGTCCCGAAATCGTCATTTAATTGCTCAAATTATACACATTTTTACCACCCGAATTATCTCCAATGTTCCCTCCCACCGGCCTTTGGCCAAATGATGACCATTGGCTAATGGTCTGAAGACAGAATGGGACACAATTTCAAATTCTAAATTGTAAAATTTTCACCCACCAGAGAATCCACAGAGAAAAACTATTAATCAGTCGCATCGTTGCATTGGAAATTGTTGTTTGTCCATTAGAGAGAAACACCATTCTTTTTTCCTCTTTCTCTGGCCCAAGAGATTGTGATACAGAACACACTCCAACACAGACAAACGGACAGAATGTGTTGGTAAAAACAACATATGAACATCCGCTAAATCTATCTAACCCTCTAATTTATATCATTAGAGCTTTTTCCTCGCCACATCGCATTAGAGTGTCCAAATAAAAATTATCATATTACGTGTGTTGTGCAGACATTCTCATTTTAAATTTTTATATATCAATTACCTGTTAATACTTTGTTTTGCTACTCCACACCATTTTCCCATACAAATATCATTCTCCACCTCGTCCACCCATCGTCATCATCATTCACGGAATCATTTTGTAAAATACCAGCGACAATTCGCCCAACAATATTCCAATGTTATAATAAGCAATTTATTCAAACACCATCACTTTTTTTGTGTGTTTCTTCTCGCGGAGCTTTGAGCTACAGAAGAACACACACACATAAAAAAAATCCGCGCCTATGATCACATTGAGTGATTTTTAATTGCAATTACATCAACGAGCAGCAACAAATAAACACATGAGATCACGAAATTTGAGAAAAATGATACAAAGTGTGTGCAAAAAAATGAAATTACACAGCATTAGCAATGCCATTTACAGTGGATATTTAGCAGAGAATGCTGAAAAATTAATTACATCAAAAACACAGAGTGATAAGTGATGAAATTCATAAGAATTCCCACAAGTAAATAACTGATAAGCTGGTGTATATTGCTTGTGATTGAAGAAAACCACGCAAATAGTCCAGAGAGTCAAGTGAATTCAGTTCTCCTTTGAATGTCTTTCAATTAAAATGCTTCTTAGAATTGAGACTTTTTGCTTGCTTTTGAGTGTTTTCCTATATCAAACTGCAAAATCGGAAATAGTTCTATATAGAATATCAGACAGAATACTCTACTTGGGCAGAAATTTAGTGCGTTTTCTGGCAAAAAATCCAGTGATTTTCCTTTGATATGAAAGTGATGGAAAATATGGATAATTTGCAGGTTGATTGGGTGACGGCCAATGAGGAGTGTTTGAAGCTCAACATGGTTCTCGCATCTGCAAAGTCTGACGAGGACAACAGCGCATTAGCTGAGTTTATCAAGCCGAGATCTTACGTGACATGGATCGGAGGTTACAACTATCAAGACAACAGTCAGTGGCGATGGATTGAGGATGGAGAGCTGTTCAACTACACAAACTGGTTGGAAAACTCCCCAAACAGCCCAAGCACCAAAAACTGCCTACAAATACTGAAGAATCCATTAGGAAAGTGGATAGCTGACACATGTAGAGCCAAAAGAAGGTTTATTTGTGAACTGGTAAAAAGAGATCATTCAGAATAGTGTGTGTGTGTGTGTTTATGTGGAAAATTACACAGTTCAGCATTTAGTGTGCGAGAAAATATCGTTGAGTGACTTTTAATTGTGACATTTTGAGGAATTCTCCACCCAAAAAAGTCTTCCTCCTTCTTTGACCAATCGGCCAATTCAATGGCATTACAGTCTTTTTTTTTCTCTCCTCTACGAATGTGTCGAAAAAAAACATATGTAGAAAAGCCCTTAATGACTTGCCAACCCTCATTTTCCCGTGGCAACTGTTCACTTTGACTTATGCATAGTTGATGATTTTCAAATTGCTCCTTTTCTCATGCCTAACATACATTCTTCGCTCTATATTTTCTATAGCCCATTCCCGCAGTGTTCAATTCTCCTCCACTCAAGCGTCCTCCTTCTTTGCAGGAGGGAAAACTAGTGAGAGTCCTTCAAATCAGGAAAAAAATTGTTACACTTACACGTGACCACTTGACTTCTTTCCAACACAATAATATTCATGGCAGAGTGTAACCATTAAATACAGATTTATCCATCAAATTCTCCACCCCAACATCATCCACCCCTTAAGAGTCATTTACTGTCGTTAAGGCGAGCAGTTAATGTTCATTTCGTGGGTTTTACAGTCAACCCAGCCACAGCATAATAACAATTCGAATTTATTATTTCATCACTCAACGACTTCTCAAGTGTTGAAAAGTCACAGAATAATTGATTGTGGTACTTGAGAAAGAGTTCCTGCCATGCTAAATAAATACCAACTTCTTTGCCATTTGTAAATTATCGACGGGTGCCTCGAAAACTATCAAAATTTAGCGTCATAAAAGCTGCGAAATTTGCCAAATTTACTTCAAAAGCCCTCGAAACGCCTTTAAAATATCTTTTAAAAAATTGTTTTCTGAATTTTTCACTTGATTTTATAGAAATTTGTTAAAAATTTCTTTACAAAACAACAATTTTTTTTTGAAAAAAACACGACGTTAACTAAAAATTACATATAAATTTATTTCCAGTCGTATTTTTAGATAAGTAAATTTTTTTTAACTGTTGCCCGATAAGAAACAAATCTCAAAATATTTTCAGTTGTAGAACAGATCAAAAGGTTTCCAAAAATATAGAGAGCGTAAACTATGAAAAAGCGACTTTTCATAGTTTTCGATTCAACCCGACCGAATTCTTTAGTGTTTTTTTTGGTAGAATTTGCACAAAATCCAACTAAATAGTCAATGCAGGAATCATAGTAATTATAGCCAAGATTGCGTGGCTCTTCCCAGTCGACAGAGCGACAATAATAATGCAAATCAACACCCCAATTCGATGGGGTGTCTTTGTTAACTGCTAACGAATCGAAGGGTTGAACGCGGGACAAATTCAATTTGTATATTTGAAGTAAAGTGCCCTCTCAGACCAAAGTACACTCAATGTCGTCAATATCCACTTAATAAATACATGAATTGCCGCCACGATACCCTCAAAATGGGGCTATAATTGTCTCCAGAGTCGAGAAACTGTGAAGGTGCGATGAAATTGGTTGACTTTTCGGTATTGTGGCAAGTAACATTTTTCCTCATTTATTCATTTCACCCCCTCTCTCAGCTTGCTCACAGGCCAACCCCCGTGCGACAAATGCCGAATGTGAGAGAGAGAGAGTTGGAGGACGAAGAATAGAAGCCAACACGCATTTTACGATTTCACGGCGCGCACTCAAATCGACGTTAGGAAAAAAGGGGGAAAGAAGTGAATTGTAATTGAATAAATCATACAGAATTGTTGACAAGAATAAAAGATTTTTCACAGTTAATTATTTATTGAGGAAATACGGTGTGTGTATCGTCGAGTGCGGGTTGTTATGAATTCCCACCCCAGTTGTCAGTAAGCGAAAAGTGACTACTTATGCAATTCCAATTGATTCAAATATTTGAAAAATATTTCCACATGGAAGAATACTTGAGATTTTTGCTCTCTTTTTCCCCGTCATTTCAAACTCACAACGATTGGAATTGACTAATGTGTCAATATACACACAAATATCCTGAACATAAATTGTCGAGACAGCATTATTTGCATGCAAAAGTTCTTGCCATGAAATAACTCCGGTGCAGGAGACGAAATGAAAATTGAGTTTGCGCTTAATAAACCATAAGTGAAATAGGATGAACCACAGAGACAACTCAAATACACTCAAACTATATATGAGGATTTGTGCTCTGTGCTCAAATTCCTTTTGCCACCCCCTCGAATTTCGTGGGTAAGTCATTCTCAATCCAAGCCACAAATTGATGCGAATACATGCACATACACATGGAAATTGTGCTGCGAGAGGCAACATGTCGCATAATTTGGGATAAAGTATCCTTGGGAAGTTTTGTCGATATATACAGTGACTCAAAATCGAATAGGACCCCCCGAAAATCAATCCTTTTGCCGCAGTAAATTCCGCTCAAAACTGTCTAGCTGAGATAAGAGGTCCTTCTGGTTATCTCCCTGATTAGATGTCCTTTCTTGCGCAGTCGAAAAATCTCCAAACAATCCTCTGGAGTCGTGTAATGTTCACACTCCATAATTTGATATTCACTTAATCAAATAGTGTCGACAAAGAAGAACTCCTGAGTGTGTTCAGCGCCAGTTCAGCCACGAATTATGGCTAATCCATATTTTGAGTGTGTGATCGGGATTAAGGATTAGTCTGAATATCTTCAAACTTGGCATGGTAAATTCTTACTAATGAGGTAAGATTTGTTGAAAAATTTAGATCTCTAGCACCACGTGGAAATTCGCGGCACATCGATATGTCTCAGAGTCTCAGGGGGTCCTTTTCGATTTCGTGTCACTGTATATATCACTCTTCAGCGCACGAGAGAGAGAAAAGCGAGTCTTTCAAGGAATTCAATACACATGTTTCCTCGAGCATCTAAAGCAATTACCGCATTGAGCCTAATTCAATTCATTATACACTCAACTTGGATGATAAATGCATCTGTTTCCATGATTACAGAATTGATCGTGGGGAGATTATCTTACTTTTTGGGGCCTTTGCTCTTTTGTTGGAAATTGATCCTCTCTCTGGGGCTTTCACTCTACAACAAACCCTAATTATCCATCATTGTGGTTTGGCTTTCTCGCAGGAAAATTGCCACTAATCAGTCCTTTTTCTCTCTGTCTCTCTGGAATACCAAAAAGGCGACATATGCAAACCGGAGTTGCCAGTATTATAAATTATCAGGGGTAAAGTTGGCAACGATAAGAGAAATCTCTAGAATTAATTCAATTTGCGCGCTTCTCAGTGCCTCAACACGGGGATTTCATCTGTGAATTAGACTCCTGCCGAGATGGTAGCATTTAGGGGTGATAAAACTACCCCTCATCAGCGAAAACACACATTAAAAGCCAATTTATTCAGACTAATTTGCAACAAAGGACAAATAAATCGAGAGGGTGTCACTAAATTCCATCTCTCTCTCATCTCGCGCTGCCTTGGCAACTTTCACACTACATCTGCCCGCTTTTATCCATACCTAAATGCATTGGGCAGTCATCCAGAATCAATCTCATTCAGGGCCAATAATCATCATAGAAATTCTTTCGCCCACGGCCATATTTCATTATATAGAGTTTTTTTTTCCTTTTGGGGTGGATTCTCTCTCTCCCCGTTCGCGCGCCCCTTCATTGTACTTAACTGTTGAGGTGGAGTAGTAATTTTTAGTTATTATCGTTTCACTGACTTCAGAATTCATTCTCGCATTTTTATCAATAAAATCCCCATCAAATTGAATTAACTCATGAGATTTAATAACACAACTTCTTCGCCCTCGACACGCCCAACTTCTCCATGCTCATTCCACACTCATTCATAATAGAGTTGTTGGAATACCAAGCGACTGTGTTCTTCACTTTGACCATTAGAATATTGCTTATAATATTCAACATACCTCTGCTGGCCATTTCCCTCATTTGCTGATCCTCAGCAATCAACTGCTCGCACTTGTGTTGCAAATCAGAGACAGCTTCAGTGGCTGCATTCGGTGTGTTCTTCCGCATTACGAGTGGCTTCAGGTACTTCTTGAAGTCATCCCGGAGCAATCTTCACAACCAGAAATCAACAAAAATACATCAGTTGAAAAGCACAACCAACATTTGCCAGCTGAAACTCACTTAAGTCCCTTCTCGTTGAGCGTGTGAACAAAGTCCACTTCGGAAGGATTGAGAAATATCACAGCCCTTCCGCTCCTTCCTGCCCTCGCTGTGCGTCCAATGCGATGGACATAGTCAGCCAACTTTTGCGGCGGTGTAAATTGCACCACACAATCCACTTCCGGAACGTCCAGTCCTCGAGCAGCCACATCCTGCGGAGCAGCAGCAAATCAGTGTGAAATACCATCGAGAGGCGCCGAAGAAAGTTACAATTCCCGAAGCGGGGGGAAAACCGGAAAATAGACGGCAGAAATTGAATGATCGTGTTGTATAATGGAAATACATAAAGCAATATGAAACAATCTCTATATATAGATATATTGGACGATGGGAAGAAGAGGTGTTGATGAAAAGAAATGCTGATTCCCACATTTTGATGTTTCAATTACAACCGCCACAAAGTGTACAACGCAAATCAAATCGATGGGGAGTTGAGAAGGAGAGAGAGAAAAAAATATCATTCTCATCTAAACACACACAAAATGAGGTGTAAATAAGACACGATAATTAGCCACTCGAAGTGGTACAAGAATTATTTTCCATGGAGAAACAAATTTATATTGTCATACTTAAGTGATTTCCTATCCAGAAAGAATCTCCGCGTTCACACGAATCTCTCTCTCATCTCTCAAAACACATTTAGAGATGAGCGCGAAATATCACGCAGAGAAGCTCGATCAACTCATCATCAACTTCATTAGATCATCATCAAATCAATTCCATTGTGATTTCCCACCACAGCAATTGACGCACTTGAATTGCGTGACATAATTAGGACAAGTCAAATTGGTCCAGCAGCGCGACAAATTCATCTTCTGTCCCAGGAAATCATTTTCAGATCTTCTCACATAATCATCATCTTGAACACCGACTCTAAAGGCCTAAATGTAGTCTAAACTTTTCACTTTGAACAAACGCAAGACAAAACGATCACTCACCGTGGACAGAAGAACGCCCGATTTGCAATTCCGGAACTCCTTGAAGACTGCCTTCCGCTCCGTTTGCGTCATCGATCCGTGAAGTCGGAAGAAGCGAACGCCCTTCAGAAGACACTCACTTGTGTCCTCACTTTCCTCATTCTCCACCTCTTCGTCCTCCTCCTCGACCACTTTCCTCGTCAGCATCTCCACCATGATGTCATGATGGAAATCCACAATATCCTGTGTCGCCATGAACACCAGAAGTTTAACATCTTTCTTCCGCCGATGCTCAAGAGCAATCAATCCTGAGAGCGTTGGGAGACGAAGCTTCGGCGGCAACACGACAAAGATCTGCTTTATTGTGTCCGGAACAACTAGCTTCTCTCCCGATATTGCCTCCTGGATGACTTTGGAGAAGTCCTCCTTGTACTCTGCCTTTGCCGACTCCGTGTTGTCGATGAAGAGCGGATCATTCAGAGCCAATCCCGCCAGTTTCTCCACCGCCGGTGTCAGAGTTGCTGACAACAGCATCGTCTGTCGTGTCTTCGTGCCATCTGCTGTCTTCTCGCGGGCATTCAGAGCCTCCACGAGCATTCCAACGTCCCTTTCGTAGCCCAATTCCAGCAGGCGATCAGCTTCGTCCAAGATCAGCCACTTCACAGCGCTCAGCTGGAAGGATTCCGTGTGCGTCAGGTGATCACAGAGTCTCCCAGGAGTGCCTATCATGATGTTGATACCCTTGCGCAGGCGAGCCTTCTCGGATTTCCTCTTCTCGCCGCCACAAAGATACCCAGGAATGATCCACGTGAATGGCTTCAGGAGTTTCACGAACAATTCATACGTCTGAATGACCAATTCTCGCGTTGGCGCCACCACCAAGGCTTGAATCCCTCCATCCCGAGTCAATTTTGGGCGAATATCCTGCAGAATCTGCACCACCGGCAGCGCATACGTCAATGTCTTCCCAGATCCTGTCTGTGATCGAATCAGAACGTCCTTCTGCTCGAGGATCGTGGGAATGGCACGTTGCTGAATGGACGTCAACTCCTTTATCTGCAGCAGATCATCCAAGTTCTTCACGAGATGCGGATGAAGATTCAGGGCGGTTATTGGAAGCCCACTGAAGACGCTCTCTTTCAGCGACTTCACCTCTCTCCACTCCACAGAAGGCAATTCAGCTGACATTTCTGACAGAAGTTTGCGTCTTTTCCTCATTCTGGGCGCCTCTTCGTCATCTGACTCCTCACGCAGCGCCTCAGGAGCTCTTGATTGCTGAGGCTGGTAAACTTCCGATCGATGATCAATCTTCCGGGCGGGTTTTCTAGGAGCAAAAACTACATCTTCCACTTCAATTGGCTGCTCTTTCACCGCCTCAGCTTTCTTTTTAGGTGGAGAATTGTGAATCCCAATGGTGATATTGCCATCAGAGGCTTCCTTGAGAGTCTCTGTTGGAGTCTCTGAAGTTTCTTCACCGCCGGAAGAATCACTTTCCGGAGACACACTTTCTCTCAAACTCACGTAATTTTTCCTCACTTTAGCCACTGAAGCAGCTTTGGGGACTCTCCTTCTGGCCACAACAGCCTTGACCTTGTCATTTTTAGTGAATTTGAAGGAAAATCCAGGAGTTTTGTTACCTTTTACCCTCGCTTTCTGCTTCGAAGAAGTCGCACTCTGCAAATTCTTGGCCAAATAGAGTCATTTTAGGGGAAATTCTCGTGAATTTTGCAAGTATTTCCACACCAACCTGTTGAGGAATCTTTTTCACACTCGGACCTTGTGTAATATTTAGGGAAATATCCATTATTTCAGAGAAATCTCACTTGCACGAAATGAAAACAACACACGTCTTGTGTTTACACTAACCTCAATTTCTCACGTGTGTGGAGAAATTTGTGACTTTGTCCCAAAAAGCCCCACATTTGAATTTCGCCTTTCCCAACGCGATCCAAACGGTCGCTTTTGAGATCAATCAGTGAAAAAAAGGAGGTAAAATTGTGAAATTTCCTCTGTGATTGATAATAAAATTATATGGGGATTATTGCGTTACACATTTCGCATTATATGGAATTTAATAGAGTGAAATATAATCCACCCTATCTTGAAGGCAAGCAATAAAAGTTGTACGAGGATAATAAATATCAACCGCCCTATTGTGATGTAAAGCCGCAGAGTATGAAAGCGATAAAAGCCTTATCCAAACATGATTTTTATGTAAAAGGAAGAGCTTTCCCTGCACCCATTTTATTGTTCAGCATTTTACCCGAAAAATAATCTTTATTGTTGTGGTGTATTTGAGAAAATAAAACATACCCCAAACTCTTGGCAGCGCCTTTTCATTTGAGAGTTGAGGAGAATAAATCGTCCAAGTGGGTGGAAAATATGCTCTATCGAAATTCTTCCCCACGAAAATGACTCTCTGTGTGTGTATTAAGACACTCGGGAAGCCTTTTCAGCATTATTATTGTGCGGCATAAAGCCACAAATTGAGGGTAATTCGCAGCCACTTGCCTTTCATCAATCGTCGTCTCCTCTCTCTCTCTGCATGACAGTGGGTGGTTTGGGACCACTTTCACCCCCGGCTGAGAGATAATTTCATCACCCAGGAACTTCCCAAAGCCATCGAGGGATCATTTTCACTTAAGCTTTTTGTCCAGGCGCACCTTTTCATGCCCACGCAGTGACTCTCCTTCTCTCTCTCTCTTCCTGAAGCATCCTGCGTGGCAAATTCCATGTGGAGGCGTTTTTGCATCTCTTCCTGGATTGTCGTTCAGCCACACCCTCCCACTCGCCCAGGCACTCGACATTATGGAAACGCAGAGGATCATCAATCTTTGCTTGCCTTTTGTTCGCAAGCAAAGTTAATCCCGGACCCCAAGCGAAAAAGTTATACATGCCACAGCATTAAATGCGAGTAAAGTGAAATTTACTTACGCCACCCCTTGCTAATGCGTCACCCTCGGGGGTCCTCAATGGACAGAAAATGCTCGAGTCTTTTAGCGACACAATAACCACAATAATACATAAGTAAGTGTGACTAATTTGCAAGGATTTCTCATGGATGGTCTCTCTCCCCTAATATCGATAGCCTGTGCGCGCAATTTCAGACCAACAGAGCCTCAAAATCCATGTAAGAAATCTTCCCTTCTTCAGGATAATTTTAGCACTCAATAAAATATTATATGTATGTAGAGAAATTTCTCCCATTGGCAGAGATTAAATTGCACACTTCTTTGGCAAAGTTGCTTCTTTTTCCATCCACAAACACTTCGCTCTCAGGCAATTATCACCCTCTTTCGCTGATACATAAAATTCATTAAATATTAACATCCCTGGCTGCTGCTTGGCAATTAGGTTTCGACACGCTCCGACGCCTCTCTGTGCCAGTGAGAAAGAGACCCTTTTGCACACTCCGAAGCGCGCAGAACCACCAATTTGCAGGGGGATCTCCCAATCCCACCCCCAAAGGGGCATCGCAGAGTGCCAGCGCCGGAGCCTCTGGACGGAGAATCTGGAGTATCAAAGCAAAACCTCTCTTCTTATCCTCTGGAAGGCGTCTCAGATGGCAAAACCCGAGATGGTTTTGGTTGACGAGACACAGAAGATTTTTACTGCAGCTCTTCGTCTAATTTACGTCGAGATTTGAAAAGTCGACAAACTAGTAAAAATTCATCCAAGTTGAGGATGAATAAAGAGGAAATGATTCATGATAGAGTTGAATTGGAAAGTCTCATGATGTATTTTTTTTGGATGGCCCACGAAAAGACGCTGAAGCGCGGATTATTGAGAGGAAAAGAAAAGTTTCCCATGAATATTGAGCGATTTCATCGGTTGAACTGATTCCGGAGTTTGTTGGAATGGAAAGTTTTGGGTGAAAAAGGGCAATTTCCTTTGTAAAATTGTTGGGAAATTGGAGGAAAATGTCTGTGTGGAAATGGTTTCGCGTCGATTGAGGACAAAGGGGAAAATGGTGCGCTTGTGCGTCTCAGTGGCGCCCAAAATTGTCAATAATCTTCACAATGGTAAAAGCTGCTCCTGCGAGCTTTTGTCGATTTCCTCGTAAATTGCTCATTGTTGCAAATTTATGGCCGTGCTCGCAGATTTTTCACCCCTCCCGCGGAGGGAGAGAAAGAGAGAAAAATCAATACACCAGTCACAGTTTGCATTTATTTGGAAATTGTGTGTATTCAGCTTCCTAAATGGCAACGGAAGTTGACATTACCAGTCCACAATTGATTTGTGTGTGTGTCCTTTTTTCTAACCCTCGCCAGGCAAAATGCTCCGCCACTGTCAGCTTTCTATGGAAATTGTATTTCCGGCTGGAATTTTGGGCTCTTTTATTGTCACCCCCGAGAGCGACGGGCCATTTTCTCCGCACAAGCCATTCTCGACATAATAAAATAATATCGGGGAAATTTCACCACCCCATCATCACCCGAATATCCCAAACAAATTTGTGAATAAACAACAATCAATGATAATTTACTCACCAGAACAAAATGATGACACGCGCCACACATAAAGAGTGTATTTTTGTTCAATATATATATATGGCCAAAAGGGTGAATCACGATTGGGGATTTTCTGTTGAACAAACAAATAATTTCGAAATGAAGTTTCCGGAAATGCGCACTGCAAATGCAAGAAGAAATATGAGAATTTCCTCCATTTTTATCCAAATACCATCGAATAACACTTTAAGGGCTTTTAGAAAGACAGTAAAAAAGCATCAATTAGACAAAATGCGTTTCCCATGTGCAAAATTTTATTAACTTAAGTTATATAGTCGTTAAATTTCCACGCAAAGGAAATATTTTATAGTCGTTTTATAAATATTTTTACACTTTCATGAGGTTTTTCCGGGCTGAAGACTTGCTGACCGTCTATTTTGTAGTCTTCGTACTTGAGCGTGAGAATTTCGCTGAAGTTCAGCTTCTCAAGAACTCGCGCTGAGTAGAGACTTGAGCATTGGATGTAGATTAGAGACAGATTCTCGCTGATCATGTGCTTCAGAGTCTCCTCGACAAGACGACCGGCGATCCCTAAGCCACGAGCAGAGTTCGCCACGCACATAATCCTGCCATCGACGTAAGATTGCAGTTCGGGAAAGCGTCCGAAAATATCACACTGATGCTCAAGGCCTTCGGACATAGTGATAATCTTCTGGAACTTCTCATGACCACTGAAATCTGCGTGCGGAGCATCTGAGTTCTTGTGCACCACACCATTGATCATCACACCTAGAATCTCTCCGTTTCGCACAGCCTTGAAGGAAATGTGCTCAGGCAGAGATTCTGTGGAGAAGATCTCCAGTTCTTTGCACTCTCCCAGCTTCAGAGATCTATTCAGCGGTTCATCCTGTCACAATGAAGAGAAAGAACACTTGATGATGTGTTGCAAAAGAAAACTTCACTTCAGGAATATTTACCTCAAAGAAGTGACGCCTTATAAATGCCACGACTTCATCCGCATCTTCTGGCTTGATCATTTCATATGATATTTCTGCCATAATTCACCACACTCTTCGCCACTTGATATTCTAATCACTCCCCCGCACTTGGATGAAGTATCACTGCGCGCTCGATGAATGAATCGAGCCTCTGTGGATCACGTCTCAGTGCCGAATACAAAAGTGCTAAGCAGACAGGCAAACATTTACTCCGATTTGTTAGCAAATTACGCGCAATTATGCAAGCCTATTGTGCGTTCCCAGCCCGACGGCAGACTAAAAGCCTTCCACGCTGCCTCTTCTGAGTATCGTGGGATTTTGATCGTTGACCGATCACCGATCGAAATCATTCGAATCTGCCATTCAGCTTACACAGCTGAGAAAAACCATTGCATAACGACCAGTGGCGCACTGAGACGCCGCGCAAGGATCTGCAAAGTCACAGAAGCGCCATATTATCATGCCAAATCCACGCCTGCGTTTTCCACAGCGATCCAGTGTTTTAAATGTGGTTTTGTGTGTAGAAAAAAACACCCAGTGGTTACATTAGATTGTGGATGAAATGATATTCCGAGTCGCCGTGAGTTAAATTTAGATTTACAATTCAAATAGTATTACGATTCATCAATGTGTGAACTTCTATGTCGACTCTTTAAAATTTTTTTGTATACACGCGAGAGACTCTTCATTTTGTTTACAAGTGATCTTCTCAAAATGATCATTTTGCATTTATTATTGCTCTCAAGATGGGGATAAATAAATAATTAAAAAGATGAAAACCTCTTTTCTCACCTGGAGCCATGAGAAAATGAGAAATTTCTTATTTAGCTTTCGCACGGAGAATCGCGCCAAAGTTGTGTGTTTCTCCTCACTTCATCTTTGCGTCTTCGCGACAGACGAGAGGCAATTATAGATGCTAAAAATTCTCATGATTATGATGCCCGTGAATCTTCTTTTACCACTCTTTGCAGAAAAGAAGATGCTGTTAATTAGCTTTTTCTAATTGAGAAATTACTCCATGAGGAAGAATACTAATTTCACCGACTTTCCCATTAAGAATGCGAAGAGAGAGCGCGAAAGTGGACACACTTTTTCCGTCATCCCTTTATGCTGCGGAGTTTGTGGAGAATACGGAAAGAAAGAACCGCGTGTCTCTGAAGGGGATGATAAAGTTATGGCCAAGGGGGAGATAGGGGCAGAATTGTGTATTTATTTAAGACATTTGATTCTCAAAATAGCCTTTTTTTACCAAATTTGGGACCAAAATCTGAGTTTCTTGGAAATATTTTAATTTGAGAACCATAAATTTTACTACTTTTCCAAGTAAAGCCTCCAATTTAAGACAGATTAAGTGAATAAAGTTTACTAAAAGTTGATTTTTGCGCCTCAACCTTGGCTTAGACTGAAAACATTTTCACAAGAATATCAACAAAATCTTCTTTTTGATCTAAATACGTAGCAGAAAAAGAGTTTCTTCTTATGTAATTCATTAAATTCTAAAAAATCGTTCTATTCAAGTAATAATTTACATTTTTATGGTGTAATGAAGTGAAACACTTTTCCCAAAAAGTGATTTTAGGCATAGTCAAAGTGTCTCGAAACTCCTCTTAAGATTCTGTATACCTACAAACGGAGAAAATAAGAAGTGCAGAAATCTCATCCTTACTATTTCCCCCTTGGTTATAGTCAAGGAAGAGAAAAAAACTTCAATGCAATAAAGAATTCGTCGTGAAATTGAAAAGTTTGCTTATTTGTTTGGATATTAGAGGCAATTTTGACTTTTATCGTTTCGCCACTCTGGGAAAAAGATTAAAGGGCCGCAGTGGAAAGCATCCCTGGAGATCGGTCAGGCGATGGGGGGGTGAGAGAGAGAGAGTGTGTGTCTTTGAGGGTGTATTTTTAGTCCATCGACCTCCAATAAATTATGCAAAGTATATTGAGAAAACCATTAAGAGATACTTTGTCATGGTATCATCTTCTGGGAATGAGGGCAATATTGGGTGTATGTATCGCTTCCATTCCATCGGCGGCGCTTTCAATGCGGAAAAGGGGCCGCTCTGCACGAGGGTTGGAATGGGATTTTTCTGCTGGAATTGTAAAATCTGATGAAAGTTTCGAATAACTTCGCCACGCTTGGCAGATTTCTCGATCGTCTCTTAAATGCGGGAGGGTTTTTGTGTGTTTTCCACCCGCAGTCGATGCGGAGAATTTATTCCGGGGCGAAGAAGAAGAGAAGCCATTGAGAAAACCACCCCGAGAAGAGGATATTGACGTAAAACGGCAATGACATGCACTTAGACTCCTTTTTCTCTACTTCGCCCCAAAACATTTCCGCTGCGTGGCGGAATATTTATTACAAAATCTCTTCTATGATTTTGGCAGGGAAATTCGGTATAATTCGAAAAATTTGTTAAGCAGGTTTTAGTGATCCTTATTTTGAAGAAATCCTGCGCACGTCCTTTATATTCAAACTTCACCAGAAATATCCTTTTGTAATCAATGACAATCGAATTAATTAATTAGACACTCTCTATCGCCTTTAAACACCTTCCAGGGATTCTTTGGGCATCTGATTTGCAGGTGTAACTAATTTGATTACTCCCAATGGGAATTTGCAGGAATTGGGAGAATGCTAAGCAGGATTTGCATGGAATCCTCACTCCTTCGCTCTCACTCTCTCTTTCGCTCTCTTGAGGTGTCGAAATCGATTCGACTGTGAGATGTGGACAAATTCAATAAAAAATAAATCACTCCAAGTGTTTTGCCAGGTTGTCGGGAGTTGTTTGTTCTGGCCTAGGCAGCCGAGGGGAGTGCTGGGGGCGCAGGCCTCATTGAGATGCGTGCGGAGTCGCTGGACGGCTCTCGAGAGGGTGTGGGAACACGAGCGGCTCGAGGGAAGAGCTGAGAAGGCAGCCAATCGGAAGCGATTATACACGGTTTGGTCGGAAGCACCCCGCATTATTTATCGCACTTCAATGGCACTTCTGCGCCGAGGGGGTGGAATTTTGTGTTCAGCGATTATCTTTCACGTTGAAATCATCTTCACTTCTGAAAGTTCTTTCACAGATGTTGTGCGTCTTTTCTCCATTAATTCTCGAGGTGAGAAAACTTTGCATTTCTGGAGGAAAATAATTATTTTTCCGCCAAAAATTACCTATTTTCAATTGTAGGCATTTTGGGACACAGTCGAGACACCCACCGACGACTCTCCGATTTCGCCGCACTTTCGCCATGGCGCCATCAGCGCTCTCGCGCTGACAGTTTGCAAGTGTCAATAAAAATGGCGGATCCACTGAGTCTGCTTCGTCAGTATAATATCAATAAAAAGGAGATTATCGAGCGCGAGGGACAGATAATCTTCGGTGAATTCTTGTGGCCGAAGCATGTGAAGACCAACTACCTGAAATACGGGTGAGTGAGCGCACTGAGAAAGTGCTGAGAGTGCGAAAATTGCGCAGTGACATTTGACGAGTTTCCACTGGTGGATTTCTCTTCGCAGGTCCGGGAAAAAGGGCGCTCCCAGAGAGTACTACACACTCGAGTGCCTGCTGTATCTGCTGAAGAATGTGCAGCTGCAGCACTCGGTGTACGTGCGACAGTGCGCCGCGGAGGACATCCCGGCTGTCAACCGTCCGGACAGGAAGGAATTGCTGGCGTATCTCAATGGCGAGACGTCGACGTGCGACAGCATCGACAAGAGCGCCCCACTGGAGATTCCCACACAGGTGAAGAGAACCATCGAGCCGGACGGCAATGAGTCGCTGGCGAAGAAGGCGCGCTTCGAGGACACGCAAGTGCAGAAGGTGAAGGAGCAGCTCGCGGCGCGTCTGGACGTGAACAAGAAGGAAGCGTCGGTGAACATTGACAACATCAAGTCGCTGTCCGAGACGATGTCTGTGGAGAAGATTGCGGCCATCAAGGCGAAGCGTCTGGCCAACAAGAGGACGACGATCAAGCGCAATGACAACGACGACACGATGGGAACAGATCTGAGGGCGATTCTGGACTTCGACGTGGACTCCACGAAGGACATTATCAGTCGCGAGCGGCAGTGGCGCACGCGCACCACGATCCTGCAGAGCACCGGCAAGGTGTTCGCCAAGAACATCCTGGCCATTCTGCAGGGCATCAAGGCGCGCGAGGAGGGCCGCACGAAGCCGCCGGCGCCTGTGCGGCTGCCGGAGCCGCCGCGGATGGCGCGCGCGATGCCGCAGCCGGCGCAGTACAATCGCTACGATCAGGAGCGCTTCAACAGGCAGAAGGAGGAGACGGAGGGCTTCAAGATCGACACAATGGGCACGTATCACGGCATGTCGCTGAAGAGCGTGACGGAGGGCTCGGCGCAGCAGAAGAAGACGCAGCAGATCGCCGCGATGCCGCCGGGCAGGCCGAAGGAGCTCATTCCGACCGCCCAGGCGCGCCTGTTGCCGCAGAATGCCAGCAAGCGCGTGTCGCGAACGCCCATCATCATCATCCCGGCCGCCACCACCAGTCTCATCACCATGTACAACGCCAAGGAGATCCTGCAGGACCTGCGCTACGTGTCGCAGGAGGAGAAGAAGGCCACGGGCGCGCAGCGCGAGAACGAGACGCTGCTGCAGCGGCGCAAGGACGGCGTCACGACGGTGCCGTACCGCGTGATCGACAACCCGGCCAAGCTTACGCCGCAGGACTGGAGCCGCGTGGTGGCGGTGTTCGTGATGGGGCCCGCGTGGCAGTTCAAAGGGTGGCCGTGGGACGGCAATCCCGTGGAGATCTTCTCCAAGGTGTGCGCCTTCCACTTGCGCTTCGACGAGATGAAGCTGGACGCCAATGTCGCGCGCTGGGCCGTCACGGTGCTCAATCTGTCGCGCACGAAGCGGCATCTTGACAGGGCGGTGCTCATGACCTTCTGGGAGGCGCTGGACAAGTAATGACGCCTCGAGTGCGCCCCAAATCGCCCAACTCACCCTCGAATTCTCTCTTTCTTGCAGGCACATGATTAAGAACAAGCCTGAGCTGCGCTTCTAAGACAGCTTTTCTGGGACAACTTCTGATGATCAACGCTGCTTTCCCGGTCCAGAGAATCGCTGTTTTGCTTTTAAACGATGAAGTCACGTGCGAAACTGTAAATTGGCTAATGAGTGATGGAAGAAGAAGAAGAAAAGTAAAATAAAGGATAAGGAATCAAAGGCAAGTAATTTTTTCATCCTTTATTATAAATGCGTTATAAGGGAGGCTAATTTTTTTCTCTTTCTTTAAATATTGGATTCACTATTTTATCCACTTGCTCTTGTCCTCTCTCTTATTCAATTCTTTCGCTGATAAAATGCAAAGTGAAAAATTTGATGACACAGAATGGTTACAATGACGTCACGCCTATGAAAAAAATCCTTGTCGATTTTTCCAAATAGATATATAAATTAGTCAAATGGAAAGTCACAAACATTGAATTAAATGCTATTCATTATTTTATGGGTAAAAATGGATGTTTTTTTTCTATTCTTTTTGTTTTAGTCAATTTTAGGAAAGTTTTTTGTGTGTTTTGTTGGGTTTTGTGAGTGTAAAAAAACAAAAAGGAAAATTTACGCTCACTTTTTTTTTGTCACTTTGACGCACAAACAATGAAATCAACAGAAACTTTGTTCTTTTAAATTACACAACAAACAGATATTTTTCTCACATTTTGTCTCAAATACATTTTTTTCCGTCCTTAACGAGATATTCCTTTAAGCTACAATCATTCACTAGTAAAATTGAAAGGGCGGGGGAGGGAAAAGGAGAAAAGGGAGGTAAATATATAGTACAGAGTTTTTTTTCTCTCTCTTTTAATGCGATATTTTTAGCCTAAGTTGTGTGTAAATGTAATTCTTCTTGTCCTTCTTATTTCTTTCTTTCATTTAACTAATTCACTAGTAGAATTGGTTAATTCATGTCCTTCTTGCTTGCACACAAAGACTGCGCGCGCGCGCATCCTTAATTCTCAATTCACTTTTTATTCCTTTATGAGTGCATTGCACGTGACTTTTCACCTCCTTCGAAACTGTACAAAAAAATATCCACTTCTCCACTCCTTTCTTTGCCTTCTACAGATTTTTTTTCTTCCTTATGTTACAGGATTACAATTCATATATATTTTGAGAGATTTTCTGCTTCTGATGATCTTTTTTCTTCTTCATGTTTTCTATGGCAGTGATTGCTGTATGTCGATTTGCTTCATTTTTACAGAGTGACATGCTTTTTATATTTTTTTTTAAAGATAAATTCTAGAGAAAGAAAAAAAATGCCAATCCACCCAAAAAGGACACTAAAACACTCCTTTATAGCTCCCACTTAATTTTACGCAATACAAAAGATACTCTTTTTTTTCTTACACATTCTTACTCAACAGTTCTATAATTAACGAAAAAGAATAATGATGAAATGATGGTGTTTTTTTTAGAAAAACATGCTTTTTGTTTGTTTTGATGTCTTTGGCGCAATTTGGAATTTATATAATTATACTCACTAAATGATTTTGAAAGGGGTTAAGAATTAATTTAATTCAAGAAAAATTATGTGATGATGATTCTTCCCTCAACACTTTCTTAATTTTCTCCGAGCTTTCTTTCCTGGGTAAAATAAATGAATGAGTGCGACTTTTTCTTGCCTCTCGTGTTGATTTAAGAGTTAATAAAATCAGTCTTTATACTTCTTTTTCTCTGTTACAAGTAATGTTTTTTTTCTTGAAGTATTATTTTTTAGTTATTGCATTTCCATTAAAAATTCCTCCGTCGTTTTTCTCATTGTAATTGTTTTTTTTTACTTCTTCTCAAATTCAGTGGAAGAAATGAGAAATATATATTTAAAAATTAGCAAATCATCAACACAGAAACAATGACGTTTTTTTTTTTTTAAAAAAAAAGAGAAATATACTTTCTAATAAATGTAAATATTTTGACGAAAAAAAAAATTATTTCTATACTCTGAAATTCTTTCGCTTAAATTTTGGTTGCAAATTGCCATTGGATTATCATTTAAGTGCAATTTTTTTGTTTCTTATATTTTACAGTCTTCATTTGCCATTTTTTTGCTTGTGTTTTCTTTCTTGTGTTTCTCCGTCTTCACAACGAAAATTATTTCCATTTCATATGGCCGAGAAAGTTTATTCAGTCGCAAAGATTGTGTCCCCAATTGGCACAATCCTTTGGCAGGAAGAAATCTTCTTCTCCTGCCAAGGATTCCCCAGACAGAGTTTTCTCAGTTTTTATGCACGCACACAATATTTTTTAAATTATAGTTCCTTATCTTTACATCTGGCCATTTAATTCCTGAGACAGTCTTTAATGAAAATGTTGTTCTGCAGTTTTGTGGCATCAACATTATTAACATCCTCATTTGCCTTAGTGTCTAAGAGTTAATATAAGGAGACTCTCTCTCTCTCTTTCTCTCTTTCTCTACTGTTTTTTTGTGTGAAAGTGTTGATAAAGTTCTCAATGGGAATCTTCCTCTCTAAATGCTCCAAATCTAGATTTATATATAAAATCGCAGGCTTAGAATTATCATTTTTATCTAAAATGTATTTTGAATGACCCTTAGAAATTACTGCAATATGTTTTTCTCTTCATAATCATTCTCTTGTGTTTTTTCTTTTTTTTAAATAGTTAATCATTTATGAAAATACTAAAATCTAATTCATTAGTGGGTAGTTTTGTTGCTAATATATCAATGTATAATTAGAATAGTTCCTCTCTTTTTTTCCACATAATGTCCTCTCAATGTTGCGCTTCGCGAAGCATAATATTAATGACTGTGAAGAATAAGGATGTGTGTGTGTGTGTGTGTCCTTATGAGGCTTTAGCAAACTGAATGACTGAACTCATTCGCATCATTGGCGACGTGGACTCGGCACTGACGCCGCCAGGCGCTCCCTGATCGTCCTTGAGGTAGAGTTTCCGCTTCCGCAGCGGCAGGCTCATGACATCGCGATCCGCCATGAGGACGGAATCGCTCTCGGGCGACGAGGCGCGCTCGGGGGACTCCGGAGACGATCGCGGCGGTGTCAGGAGGGGCTCTGTGCCAGCCAGAGCGGCCTCCACGCGCTTCACCAGATCACTGGCAGAGTCCAGCGAGGATCTGTGGACGGGAAGATGCGATGAGCGAACTGGAAATGCGTCTCAATTGAGGCGGAGAGACTCACCTGAAGTCGCTGGCCGTGGGCGCGGGCGTGAAGTAGCTGTGCTGTCGCATCACGGAGGCGGGTTCGTAGAAAGCTGCCGGCGTGGCCAGACTCTGTGGCGCCGGCGGAAGCGGCTGTGGAGCCGTGGTTATCGCCGGGGCGTCCTTGTGGTCATCGAAGCCGGCCACTGTGGCGGCCGCGGCGATGGAGGCCGCGGCCAAGAGGGCGGGATTCACGCCGGAGGCCGACACGCCGTAATTGGTCACCACGGACTGCTCGAAGCGCGAGTACATGTTGTAGTACGTGACATCGTCGCCGTCCGAGTTGGTCTCCGAGCTGGACTCGCGCGGCGTGTCGAGCTGCACGGGATGCGGCTCCGCCATGGTGGGCTCCATCGGCGGCGACACGCTCTCGTCCAGCGGCTGGGCGTCCAACACCTCCGGCACCAGCTTCACGTCATCGTCATCGGGCAGCTCGTTGGCGTGGCCCTTGATGTGCGCCTCCATCTCCTTCTTGTTCTTGAACGTCTCGTCGCAAATGGTGCACTTGTAGCACTTGGAGCCGTAGTGCTGCACGCGGTGCAGCTTCAGCACGTGATTGTAGCCGAAGTCCCGGAAGCATATGTCGCAGTGGTAGGGCTTCTCGCCTGTGTGCGTGCGTGAGTGCACCTTCAGCTGCTTGGAACACGTGAATCCCTTGCCGCATCCCTCCACTGGGCACTTGTAGGGCTTCTCTCCTGCAACGGGACGAGGAAAGGGAGTCAGTAAATGGACGAGTTATCAGTGGAAAGTTCACGCTTATAGTAATCGGCACTGATAAGAACTTATTGTTTACTATTCCTTATCAACACCCGACCGAGTGTCCTCTCTCTCTCTCTCTCTCACCTGTGTGAGTCCTCATGTGGATGACCAGCTGCCCGGACTGGATGAAGGTCTTGGCGCAGACGGAGCACTTGTGCGGCCGCTCGCCGGTGTGGATCCTCATGTGGCGGTGCAGTTTTCCGCTGTGCTCGAAGGCTCGGCCGCACACGTCGCATTTGTAGGGGCGCTCTTTGGTATGGATGCGGCGGTGCACCTGGAGATTTTCCTTCACGCTGAACATCTTGTGGCAGAACTCGCACTCAAACGGCCGCTCGCCCGTGTGCGTGCGATAGTGACGCACCTGTTTTATGGAACAGAAGAGAAACACAAGTTTAATGTCTCAATCTAATTGAATTTGTCCTTTGAGACACAATTTTAAGGCTAAAATTTTGGCACTCACCAGTCTGGCGGGCACGGAGAACGTCTTCTTGCATACGTCGCACTGGTAGGGATCCGAGGGACTCACTGTGGGCACTGATAGCACTGACGATTGCAGAGACTCGCCGGTTGCTGCGACCGGTTGCTGAAACTGTTGCTGCGTCGCAAACTGCTTCGCGTGCGACTTCATGTGACTCGTGTGGGCGCTCTTGCTGCCGAAGCACATGTTGCACTGCTCGCACTTGAACTGGGGCTTCTGCGGCGGCGGCTGCAGGCTCATCTGCTGCGCCGGGGGCGCCTGCAGGGGCTTCTGCGCCAACCCAGGGCTCACGACGTGGTACGTCGCGGCGGGCGTGTAGGTCTGCAGCATCTCGGCGCCCGTGTGCATGGCGGAGGTGGACGGGACGCCGAGCTGGTGATACTGACTGGGTGAGGTGGAGGATGTGGACGGGCGGCCAGCGTCCGTGGCATCCGATGGGCAGGCACACAGCTGCGAGGCTGAGGCTTCAGTCTGCATTATCAGTGGAAGAGCCGTGTAGTAGACCATCTTGCGGAGATCTGCGAACAGGGAAAAGCAGCCATGAGAATTATCCTGGAAGGCGCGATCCGATTTTCGCGCGCGCGGGAAGCGGAGAAACTAAAGTGCAATGAAGACCAACCATCTTTGCTCTCCTCCTTCACTTCCTTAATTTCCGTGCCACTCTTCGATAGAATTGTCTTAATCCATTCCTGTTTGTCCCAAACACTCATAATTCGCGCGGGAATTTCACTCAGGCCCACAATCCCATCACCAGACTTTCATCTTCATCCACACTCACACACACAGAGTCACAGTGGCCAGAGGAGTTTTCACTTGAGACTGGAAGCGCGCGCGTGCTTTCCGGATTGTGGTCTGCTTCCGATGGTCGCTGCCAATCAACTGAGAAGTGGCCCGAGAGTGAAAATTCAGTGAGGCATCGGAGACATTTCCTCCGAAGGGCCGCACTGTCGCTCTCTCGCTCGCGCCGAGTCTTTGGCCTCGACGCACTTCTTGTGCGAGACGCACAGCCGAAAGCTCCTCCCACACACACCACGCACTCGCACGCACTGTGCGGGAAAAGTGGATCATCGACTCGAAAGGGAAAACTCCTCGGCACCCTCGCAAGGGAGATTCTCTGGCCACCAAGAATGTGCGCGTCTCTCGATACTGTTGTGAAAATTCCAGCGGCACTCGAGAGTACACATTTCTGGGCAATGTCTCTTTGTTCCTCTCCGTGTTTACATGCCGAAGACAAGGCTCCGGAGGAGACGCACAGGTGCTAAATGGCGAGAAAATACCTCTTCACACGATTAACCAATTCAGGGTTTTCCCCCGAAAATTGAATCCATCAATCAGCTCTCATTAACATCCTTATTCTTATTGCTTAAGACATTCTAGGAAGCCACACTCTTGAGGCAATTCATACGAATATTTTTAGATTTGTGATAACGATTCGCTATAAATAGAGATGTAATAAATAACACAGGTTATCAAGTCAGGATGTTGCGAATATCTTTGCTCTCTTTTACGACGTGTTTTGGTGTGATTAAAGATTCATATTTCAATGAAAATTATCCAAATTTCTCCAACTGACTCAATGCGAGCAATTTGTCGTGGCTTCTCATATCGAAGTGTGTCAGATATTGCAAATTATAAATAAAATACAAGATAAAATACCTCTTGCGACAGCGAATTATCCCATAATAAAATGGTTTTTTTTTCTTATCAGTGTAATAAATGCACAGAAATGTCTCTCTTTCACTCGTCCAAATTTGGAGGCGCATATAAAGTGTCTCATGGCGCCAATAAAAGCTCTTTCATTATGCAGCCATGCCTAAATTGAGTGCTGGAATCGCGCGGCAATTTATTCGTCTCGCGAGCGGAAAGCTGTCCTGCCTCAGTCACCCTTCACCGTCCTGTCGCAATCGCGCGGTCCGGTCATTCAACGCGAGCATGCGTGCCACTCGATATTGACTTTCTCGCGGCGACGGCAAGTGCATGGCCTCAGCGCGGCTGGAATCCGGTGCATCGCCGCACGGCGAAAGCCAGTCCCTCGCCTCCACGTGTCTTCCGCGCGCTTCGCACTGGCGTCAGGGATGAATGAGTCGGCAGGCGCTCACGGGCGCTGTGGGCGACGACCGCCCTCCCAGTGCGCCCCTGCCCAGGCGCGTCAGGCCAACCCTCGCAGCGTTGAGCCCAGGCAGGGAGTACCGACCTCGCCAAGACAACTCGAGGTGGGCTTCTTGCCTCGAGGAGCGCGCGTGGAGCGATTAGAGATGAAATTACGCGATATGGGTAGTCAAGCGACTGTCGGCCGGGGGTTTGGGGCGCCCGTAAAAATTCTATCTTGCAGATTCTCCAGCATCTGCGGCCACAATTGCCCCCTTTTTCTTCTCTGTGCGCAATTCCGCCACCACTCCAAATGCCCAAATTGGACGCGTTGGCAAGAAAAAAAAAAGAATCCGCACGACATGAGAGAGTTCAAATTCAAGGATTTCTCCGCCATGGAGCAAAAAGAAGGCCCGCCGAATCTCTAATTGAGCCCAATGTCTTCAGCTCTCTGGCCCGAAGTTGATCTCACAGAAGCGCGCGTTGCGTGTATTAATTGCCACAAACGCACATAGGCGAAGTCCGCGACTGTGTGTGTTTGTGAAGTCTCCGCGGGGAAAAAAAGTGCCGCGAGTGTACTGACCAATCTTAACTCGGAATTTGGCAAAACTCAACATTCGACTTTGACGCGCTGCGACCTCAAACCTCAACGGATTTATCAAACACACACACACGTCGCGCCTCTGTGCGATTTTCTCCACACAAACAGCAGAGGCCAAACAGATGCGAATTCAGCGCTCGAGGATCATTCATCAAATGGGTGGGAAACCGGTCTTGCTTTTCGCAATTTCCATCCAGCAGGGCGACAGACAAAGGTTCTGGATCTCGCACAGTAACCAAGGAGGAGCGCTATTGAAACACACTCAATTCGTTGCCGAGGGAAAACAGTGCAAACTGTTACTAGGAAACATGTCGCTTGAGCAGATCCTATAAGAAGCCATTTCCTATCAGTTTCCAGTTGGAAAAGAATGCGAATTAACCCTTCAGGAACATCAACGATACAGTAGAATTACTTCATGAGTTACGCAATAAGTCAAAATTTGTCATTTTTCAAGAGAGCGAGAAAATTTAGCATCAAAATTATTTAAATAGGTGAAAAATTAGCCAAATTTACTGCAAAACTCTCAAAACATCTTCCAATTGCTCTGAAATAATTATTTTGTGAATATTTCAGTTGATTTCATTGGTATTTATTGGAATTTTTCACTAAACTATGGCAAAGTTAATAGAAAATCTGAAAATATTGCATACTAGAGTTGATTTTCAACAGTCTTCGAGAACATTTTAAGGAAACAAGTTCTAAAAAATACACTTTTCATGAAGAAATTAAAGAGACGCTTCCCAAGAAAATGACGCCATTTTGGTATTCACAAACTGGTCAATTCAATTTACATTTCATTGAATACTCGGGTCAAATGCAATTCAGAAAAATGAATGTCTAAATTCTTCTCTACCTTTAGACACTTGAGTGATTTTAGCAGATTCCTAAGAAAATACATTTTTGCTCAAAACTACAACTGCTTAAGTTAACTTTTCGGTGTTCGAGGGTTAACTTTTGAGCGTCTCTTTTCTGATCGTCACTTTAGTTGTATTTCTATCAATTTCAATTTACAATAAGTCTATAAATATCGTGAAATAGTAGAATTTGCGGAAAGCTATTCAATAAAATCTGAACAATGAGCAAGAGCCGAATTTAGAACGTAGGTCATGGAGAACGACGCCGTTGTGACAGGAAGTGGAAAAGCGTTGCAAAATTGCGCGATTCTCAATTACAGAGATGAAAGAGTGGCACAAAGTGGTTCCACCTTCAATCACACATATTTTCACCTTCAAGACGGAATTTGGACAGTTTTTTCTCTCTCGAATTTACACACAAGTGCGAGTGTCAACAATTTCCCAATGACAAGATCTCCGATGATCAGTGAAATCACGTCGATTTCCTTGACCTAAGCATTGCATTCGGTGAGCGGCGCTGCGAGAAAGAACGCAGAAAAACTTGAGTGGAATTTTTATCGCCATCCACCTCTATTTGACCGCAAATTTATCTAACTCTTGTATAACTGACCTGAGTTATTTCAATTGGTATTCGCACAAAAAGAGCCCACACCAGCCCAAAATGCGACGCACACAGCGCCAGGCGGCGAATTATGGAGGATGGCGGCGTGTTGCGCGGCCAAGGGAGGCAGAGAGATATTCTGTGTGTGCTTTTTTCGCCATTTTTCTATTTTGGGCAGATTAGATTTCATGCTTTTTTACACACTCGGCCAGCCCAACACACTCAACTGCTTTTTTTCGCGTTGTGTGTTCTTGGGGCGCCTCTAGGAAATGGCGACCTCCATTTTGTTGCGTTGGTCGGTTTTATTATGATTTTTTTCGCACTCTTCTGCATGTGTGCCATAAAATTGTTAATCCCTCGCGCGACTCGCGGCTCATAGAGATGCAATGGCGCTCCTCTCTTGGGCCACAAAGCCCGATTGGGCTGCTCTCCGGGCACCGTTCTTATGTAAGGTGGTGTTACTTAACGTGACTGCGTCTTTTTGCCACCACGCCAAAGCGTCGAGAATAGTGAAATAGAGAGACAGAGAGAGAGAGGAGCTTCCGATTAGACGCCATTTGCCATAATGGGCAGACCTGACCTATCTTTATCAATTTCGAGGTGTTTTCGCCAGTGTGTTCTCTAGGCTCAAAGACACACTCGTTATCGTGCGGCCATTTCGGGCTCACGCAAAAAGCCGTTGGGGCAGAAAAAATTGGCAAAGATTTCTGCCATCTTCTCCTCTCTCTCGCTCTCGCTCTGGGTGATAAGGAAGAGTTGTGGCTTCTCAGGCAATGTCAGTACGACTGGAATTTTTTTTTCGCAATCAATTCCACGCCGATAAAAGAGCAAATATCTCTCCAACAATGAAGCGACTTTTCTCTGTGCAAAATCCTTTCTCTCGCGTGAGCCTCAAAGTGGCTCATGCGCTCTTGGACAGGCGCAAAAATGTTTTTTTTTGTAATAATCCAAAAAATGGTGACGTTGTCTCTTTTCGCACTTAACCAACTGGCATTTCAACATTCTCCGCAGCCCAAGAAGACTTTCGATTTATTCGCAACAAAAAACCCAACCCACATTCGGCAATTTGCAAATTTCGGCAAATTTCCATTTACAGAGATGCAACTCACCGGGCTCAGGATCACTCGCACGCGACTGTGTGGGGATTCGTGGGACGCCTCAGGAGGACGTGACGATGTGACGCTGGGTCTGGAGATGGTGGAATTGCTCAGAGGTGGGATTCCGTCCTGATAACACTGCCTATTAGCACACCATAATGTCTGTTGGCCCCAAAATGATCGCGAGCGCGCGTCTCTCGCGGAAGTCACTGGAATACGCACAATTCCCGGATTCGACACTGGCACACAACAGCACTGGCACACAATGTCCTTTGGGAGGAAGTCTCTTCCACTCAGGAGAATGCACAGGGCTCAATAGGGAACTGAGTGCGTTTTCTCTTCATTCACCGCAAAACACTGCTGAGCCGCTCTGATGAAGTCACAATGCCTGGCTGCGAACTGGTGTTCGCGGCTCCAACAGCGCCACAGTTTACCTCCTTCATGCGGAGCACCAACACAGCGGCGCGGCCACTAAACCCGCGCTCGGCCGCACTCGTGGCCGCCGAGCGCGCCGCGAGCGCCGTGAATTTAGGGCACGTGGAGGAGCGGCACTGGCTTTCGCCGCCGAGTCCACGCAACGGCCATTCACGGGCGCAGGAGCGACAGAGACTCACCGGCAGGCGGCCGAGCGCGGCGCGCGAGAGCGAGACGCGCGATACACTGTCATGGATGAAGCGCCACGAAAATAGCCTGTTCGGGGCTTATCACAGGCCGTGCTGGTAAAAGTGCACTATCTCGGGAATTGGTCGACGGGGAAAAATCCACTGCACGCGATCTCACGATGGAACAATGGAAGTGCCAGGCGTAGCACTTTTCCCCGGCCGCGGGGCGAAAACATGCGGGGGGCAAAAGGAAAACACATTTCGAGTACAGTGCTTTAATGACACACAATTTATTGACTCGCCAAGTGCATTGTCCACACGTGCCGTAATTTTTTCCACCTCAACCGCTGAGCCAGTCAGCACAGCCAACAAAAGCCCCACAATCGTTGCAGCGAAAGCCTTTCGTTTCCACTGAGAAAAGGTGCCAATATTCGCCAAGTGGTCACGATCTTCATGTCTCTTCTCTGGGCGTCTTTGTGCAAGAAGAGATGGAGAAGTGTGAAGTAGAGTCTGAAGGCATCATTCTTAGCCAATGAATTTGTTGAGAAACGATCTCTGGACCATTTGAAGGGCGGAGCATAGAAGGAGGCGGTGCTTCGCAGGACTCTCCGAATTCAAAAATGCATTTTCTTTCATCTGCAAAGAGATAATTAATTTGAAATACATTTCAATACATAAATTATATTTAATCAATAAAGTTTCGCATAAGGAATATAGTGTTGTTATGACTAGAATTATCAAGGCATGTATTTTCAATCCTCAAATGTCATCACAATGACAAGACATTTCCCATTGAGAAGCAATAAAGGGCTAACAATATTGAAATTGTCCACAATGCACTTTATTGTGCGGTAGTTTTTGCCGCTCTTCCTGCACAATTTTAGCCATTTGCTCAACTATTCTCGGTCAGGCCAAAGGTCCTGTCTCACTCGTGAGGACTTTCCCCCTGTGCGAGTGTGAGGCAGACGCGATGTGATTCATGTTAGTTGATCAAATAGTCGCATTCGAGAAATGCACTTACGAGCGCCAAGTGGAGTTTTATTGACAACAGCAGGCAATGCGGAGTCAACGACCGACTACACGTGCCAACTACTCGAAAGCCAGTGCATCGCCTCACCAATGCAAGTTGCATTCTTCACTTTTGGTTGCCCTGCCTTCGCTCTTTCGCGCTCCGTCGCCAGAACTCGCTCGTGAACGCAAACGCGAAGAGGGCGAGCACTGCAATGCATTGCGCCTCTTGTCGTGCAGTTTCTTAAGTAATTCTCCTAGCTTCTCAATCGTTTCAAAAGGGGAAGAATGAGCATTTAATCTATCTCTGTGCATGGCTTTTTGTTCCAAAGCTCCTATTGTAGCATTTCAATGCAGAATTCTGATCCTCAGTGCTCGACACTTCGAGCACACAGTCGCAACTCCTTCCCTCGCTCGCCATGGCACTTCTCTCTGCTCCGGAGCGTCTCCAGCTGCTGGTGGGCCTCGTGCTAATTAATGTAAATGAATTGGAGTAACAATGGGGGCTCTTAGCACCTCGCCATGCGCCCATGGAGCCGCGAGCTAGGGTGCGATCAGCAGCGAAAGACAGTGCTCAGCCTCAAACTATTGCCACTATCTCTCGTGAGGCTGTTTCGCTTTGCCGCTCGCCTTCTCGCTCCGTCGCACAGCCGAGCTCAGCTCGGGCGAAAACCCGTGCCAGCCTCTTGACCTTCATTTCAGCTCGCTGCGTTGACTCTTTGTTGTTTTCATCGCGCACACACTCACTCTCGAGTGCCCCAACACAGCAACGCCGCGCTCGCTTCAGTGATCTTCCGTCCGCCGCAGCTGGAGATGATCCTCATCCGGAGCTTCTTGAGAACCCAGAGGCGTCAGAGTCCGCGCCGGAGGAGCCTTGGCGGGATTGAAAGGGAAATCAAGCATCTCTCTTGACCAATCTCAACACGAAAGGCGTTCAATGAAAAGCACTTCAAGGCATGCGCTCTCGCGGAGCTTTCCCTCTCGAACGGGCGAAAGCACTCTAAGCTCCCAATCAATTGCCTCGGGGATTTTCTGGCCACCCAAGTATTTTAGCTGATGGGATTTTCGTGCCGCCCGCGGACTCAGCGAAGCGTGGTGAATTTCTACGACAAAGTTCAAGAAGCCCTCGAGATAGGAATTCTCAAACTTGAAATTGTGTGGGAGTATAAAAAGTGAGATAAAGCTTCATGTGCTCATGAGGAAAATGTATGACCTATAATGTTTGTCACTTAGTCATTATCACTTTAATTATACTGCAATTGTTCTTTCTATAATAAAACACAAGCAGAGAATAACAGATTTTTTCAGCCTGTGTTCCAGTCAGAAATATTGAGTTGCATGCAACTCAGCATGTAAAACATCAAGTTGTACACGTTATGATGGACTAAAACAGCGATAAAATGTGGGGTTGAATCTCATTCTGCAAATTACTTTTATAAAAGGAATGTCATTGGGTCATTGAAGTATCCAATATTGTCTCAAAATGACTACCAATTCCCCGAAAAGGGTTTCCTTTTAGGATCGATTGCAAAAGGACCCTCCATAAAAGTCACTCCACTTTTTGGGGGTAGCAAAATAGGCATGAAACTTTCATTTCTACATTACACAATAATCCTCAATGTCTCCTTGCAACAATGAAACTGTCGCTAAGGCCAAACTGTGAGTTGCTGAAACCGCACACAACTTTCCCTCTAGAATTCTAACACACTTTTCCTCTCCATGCTCGAGGCGATTTTACCAGAAAACCCAGGAAGATGATCATCTCGAATTTCTCTGCATCTCTTCACCGGGGAGAGAAAAAAGGCATTAATTACACAGGCATTCTCTGGTGGCCTAGTTTCCGAATATAAACTCTATTGACTTGTCTCTGCTGGATGCTTTCCCTCTCAGTCATTCGCCTCTGGCCCTAGCGCGCCTTCTCCCATTCGCCTAAATGGCCTGGTGTTTGTATATTTCTGTTGGGCGTCCGTTGAACCGTGGGCCCTTTTCGGCCACCCTTCCTCCTCCCTCTCTCTCTCTCTCTCTTTCTCTCTCACCCACACGGCGTCGCGGCAAAGTGCTGAGTGATCGTCGAAATTCAATTCCGGACGCGAGCATCGCACGAGGGAAAAAGTGCTTCGTGTGTTTTGGGAAGTGCCGAAAAAAGAGCGCATTCCACGTGCACCCATGGAAAAATGTTGTTGTTCATTTCTGGGCGCGCAAGAGAGAGAGAGTTCATCGGCCTCATGTTATGTAAGATGGGCCAAAAGGGAAAAATTGTGTGTGTGCGCGCCCGATAATCTCCAAAATATACGAGGGATTTCCTCCTCTCCAAATAAATACAACACTATGCGTTGTGTAGAGAGAAAAACTATTCGGCTCTGTGTGTAGTCACAAAACGCACATTCTTCAATCCCCCCGAAGCCACTCATGAGCCCATTTACGCAGTGCGTCGCCGGAGGGGAAAGTTCCATGCAATGCCAGAGAAATTTCGACTATGACGAAATCCAATATTCAATTGATTTATGGAGGAAACCTCATTTGATCAGCACACACAAGAGTGCAAGAGAGGAACACAATCGGGCAATTGCCCTGCCGATGTTGCATGTTATCACAATGATTTCTGAATGAAAGCCTAGCGTAGCCAAGGGGGAGATAATTGGGTTAAAATCTGTAAATCACCCCCAGAAATGTCTGCAAAATCTCTGACACTTTAACTTCACAGGCTATCAAGACTGAATCCTCGTAAGTTTTCATTAGAAGATATTTTATGTAAAAAGAAACATTTTTGAGAGCTCATTTCGACCATAACCTTAAAAATCACATCAAGAAATAGTTTCAAATACAATTTTTGAACATTCCAGGAACAAAATCAACATTTATCGTTTAAAAATGAATTTTAAATTGCCTGTTTTGAGCTTTAAATTTGTCAAAATGCCTTTTAAGTGTGCGTTTTTCAAATTTAAAATGCTATTTTTGAGGTTATGTTACATCGTAACACTCTTTGTTGTGTTTTTCGTGCTTTTACACTTGTAAGATCCAGAATAGTGACTTGGTTTGCATGCAAAATTGATGTTTTTGGCTGTCAAATCTGTCCTTAATCTATTATCAATCTCATCAAATTATCTTCCCCTTGAGTTTTTAGCTTAGATCAGAGCTTTGGTTAAAACCATACCCCGAAAGATCTAACAAACCACGGCGACAGTTCTTGTAAATTGTTCAAATAAGGCCTGGAAAGAGTGTTGTGAACTTTCTCTGATAACGCTCGATAGAGACTCCCCGAAAAATGGTTGGCGCGCTTTCACAATCACAGGCATTAGAAATTGGGTTACAGTCAATTTAATGCCACTATTTGTCAATGAATTAAGCATTTCACCGGCGACAGACGATATCAGGGCGCTCAGAGGAGTTTCTGACTGTGACAATGGGCGCTGAAACAATTACAATTCCGCCGTGGAGAATCATAATTGAGTTCACACGTTACGTGTGAGATTGTGTCTTGAGGTCTTCGACCCACACTCGATTTTTCGACTGAACCTCGGACCACACTCAATAATGCCCAAGACAGATTGGTGAACAAAGACGAGCTGGAGAAGAGGAAACACACATCTGCCAGCGTCATCCAATTCATCTGCCATTGCGTAACCCTTGCAGAGATGAAAGTTGTTTGTCTTTCATCTCGTTTTCACGTGTGCCGCGAATAATTATCATCAGCGCTGTGATAATTCCACGCGATGGCCAACGAATCATCTGTGAGACCCGAAAGCTGCCAAGATAAACGCTTCCAAAGGTTGTGAAGCCTGAATTTGGTGGATTGCAGATTATCATTGTAGGCCACAAATGATTTTTTTTTCTTCTTCTTCTGGTGAGAAAGAGAACCTAATCGATAATCAATACTCGGCTTGACCTTATTTCGACTAAATAACCGATAACAAGGAAGTGTCGGATAATTCTCGAGAGGCGACAAAAACAGGCACTTTGTGTGCACAAGATTATTTGCTTTTTGTCGACACTGAATTGTTCATCGTTTTCTTTCCGAGAGAAAAAAAAAGTACAGGAAAAAGCTTTATCTAGAGATTCTGAGGAAAAAGGCGATATATTTTAGGGAAATTACGTGATTACTTACATAAGTATGCAATACCTTTTAATCCCATGTCATCAATTTCATGTCGATTTCCTTAAATACATATTGAGATTCCCCTCGGTTTTATTTTTGGGTGAAGAGAAAATTTATTCATTTGATGCATTTTTGCATAATTGATTAGTCATGTAAAATACGCAATCGTAATGTTTTCAAATAACAAAGTATTACAAAATGCGCAGAGACGAAAAAACAAACAAATCAGGAAGACATGCGACCATTAAAATTATCATTTTGTTATCAATATTAACACACACCCAATTTCCGATTGAAAAAAAGCCCATAAAATATGCAGAGAAATTGACGCTACTTTTTTTCCCAATGCTAAAATGATGTATTTTTTTTGGTTTTGTGTATTGCATAAATCAAGACGGAAATGAATTTTCCAATTAATAAATAATTCAAGCAAATAGTTACCGGATGACTTCTTCGCATAGAGAGGCACTCGAGAGTGAGCGAGATAAAAGGCAAATAAATATTTTATGGGCACTTTTACGCAACATCGCTTCGGGTGTGAAATTGTGTCTTTTTTGGCAAAGGTCAGTTTAGAGGTGAAGACGCACCATGAAGAGAACACAAATATTTTTCACCACAGCCGACATTCTTTGTCAATTCATTCCGCACTCTCTTGATCGTGTGGACATTCTTCCTGTGGACAAACACCAGGATCAGGGATGGGGTCAGCGAGGGAAGCACGCGTGTGTGTTGGAAGACTCATTGAAAACGCACGGAATATCACGTAATTTTGTGCGTGGAGGGAAATTAGAGAGAAAGGTGAAAGAGGCAAACCTGTCTCTTGGCGCGAACCCTTCGCTTTTCGCTTCACCAGAACAGCCAATTTCATCCCCCATATCGAAAGAGAAAGTGTGGGAGAGAAAGTGCGTAAGAGAGCGCAGAGAGAGAGCGGTGAAATTGCGTCGATGTTGTTTTACGCAAGATTTTCGGGAAAATGCCAGAGACTCTCTGCGGGGCGCGCTGAGGGGGCGCCACGAAGGGGGCGCGGCAGGAAAGTCAATACGATATTCACCCTCCGAGGGAAAACACTCACATTTTTCGGGGTGGATCCGTGGGTGGGCAATGAAATACGCGCGAGATGGCACAACAACGGAAAATGCGTAGTATTTCCACTGCGTGGATGCGTACACTCACTTGGTCCTCGCCAGGATGCCGAAAAACCCTCAAAGAGCGTGCGTGTGTGTGGGTGGGTTATAAATAAATTTTTTAGCATGCCAAGAATCTTCCAAGGGGATGCAAAATTGAAGGGGGGGCAGAATTTGCATATTTTCTGGAGCGAAAATCACACACAAAATGTCCATTTGCATTGGGACAAAAACACATCGTATTGATTTGATGGGGGTGAAATTTCACATTGATTTTTCTCGCTCGCACTTCGGGAATTTCTCCCACAAGACGTTCCTTCTCAGAAATGCTGATGGAAAAATCCCGTGCTTGTCAGCCCAATGTGACGTATTTGATAAGATGAAGAGAGGAATAAAGTCTCTAAATTTGCCTCCAGGAATTTGATAAAAAGTAATTCAATTTACTCGATGAATATAAAACACTCATAGAAATGTTCCTGACAATGTGCATTTTGAGTGGAATTCAGCAATTGTGTCGTCAAAATTCTGAAATTTACTCCAGAAGTCTTCAATACTTCTCATTGTATTAAATTTGTGGTGAAATATTCTCTCTGAATTCCATTTTTTGTGATTTCTCTGAGTGCACAAAATTCCTCAGAATGTTTATTTGAACTTTTTCTCTCTCTCTTACAATCTTTTTTTTTCTTGTTCCACCGAGAACTGGTAATTAATTGTATTCTATCATGAAAATCAACAAATCCACCCTTTCAGCGAATCTTCTTCTGCCCACATAATAATCAGTGTGATAGCGCTTTAGACGTCTTTCGGGAAAATATATTGCGCTTCCCTTTTTCTTGTGCGATTTTCACTCCCAAAGAGCGAAAATGTAATTTTTCACACATTCCTGTCTTTTCATTCTTTTCCCTCACACACACACACACACTTTCTGGGTGAAAAAGTTCGTTGGATTTCAGAGGCAAAAAGATCAATGAGTTTTGAGGTGATTTCAGTTAAATGTTTTGCTGATTGGATATCTTTTCTGCCACTGCGAAGGTGGAAAAGGGACGTTTTTTCTGCCTCCACTCCACACGATGATGAGAGATATCAATCTGTGCAGAGGTGGTGTTTTTTCAGGGCTTGTCACCCCATTTCCACCCCCTCCACCAGCACGCACAATAGCCTTTTAACCCCTCTACGCTCAGCTCAATATTAGGGAAAAAGCTGGTTGCTAATAAGATTCCCTCTTTTGCGTGATGGAGTTCCCGAAAATTATCGATCCTCCTCACAAACTGCCCCTCGCATTTTCCACCCAACAGTGCCACAAGTGTGTGCGTAAGGCCCTCCCTCCCCCCGTTGCGTATACTCTTATTTTATGATACTAACATAAAAGTTATTCCCCACAATTTTCCATCCGCACACAGCGCCTCTCTTCCCTGCTTTTCAGGCACAACTGCTCGCTCTCCCAGGCGCTGTCTCGCTCTGGCGCGCGGGAAATGCGGGCAGAAAGTTTGGAAGAAGAGCTCTATGTACTTCTCAATTGACCCATTTCCAGGCGGCAGCGCCAGAGTTCGAAGACCTTTCCCCAGTGCCGAAAGTGTGTCTACACGTGTCACACCAGTGGGTACATTGCGTTTTTCGGGAACTCTCGCTGGGTTCACTTCACTCACATATCGGAGTCCCGCAGCGCCAGAGCGAGATGGAGACAGAATCCAGAATGTATGACGCACGGAGAGTCCCATAGGAGTGGGCCAGGGAAGGACTGAATGGCTCTTGGGAGATGAGATTCCGCTCAGGCCAGAGATGAACACTTCAACGTGCTTCAACTTCCCATGAGAGGAAGCCACGCCCATTCCTATGCCCCGCCCAATTGCACATGACTTCACAGAGATTCTTGCAATTGATCTACGGGAAGAACTTTCCGGACAGTATTTTGCTTTTAAATTAATAGAAAATTCAGAATGAATGAAAGAACTACGAGAGATTTTTCCTTGTCCACATTTCTGATCAAGTTTAGTAATTCGCTGAACAATTTCTGTTCGTGCTTCTCAGAAGTTAAGCCAGGAATTATTTAATTTATATAAAACACGAAATATGCTTTGTTAAATTCCATCCGAAATAGGGGAAAAATTGAGGTTTTTGCATAAATTCAACTGACATTTACTGACCGAATTTCTGCAATCTTAATTCACAGTCAATTTCTACAGGGAATTGTTCAATTTTTCCCTGATTTCCCTATGCAAATTCTACATAATTTTCACTGAATATTGAAGGGATTCCCAAAATTGCGTGGCGCTTTCATATAGCCAGACCCGAGAAATCATTGGATGTGCTGCGGGAAAGATGATGATTTTTCGGGAGTAAAAGAGAGGCAATTCCCCCAGATCTGCGCCTTTTATCTCCCCGCCTCACATTTCGCCCAAGTGTTGGAGCATCAATGATTTTCCTGTGAGCTCTCTTGTTGCCTAGGTGACTGAATTTGGGAATAGGGAACGACAGCGGGAAGAACACACACATCAAGTTATTGTTAAGCCCCATAATGATACTTTTTCACCCAACGACTTTTATGACTCCCAATGTGTCCACATTGCCTCTCATTATCTATTCCCAACTCGTGCTCTCCCTTCAGCTCTGTGGCTCAGGGCGGAGGGTGTGGACAAGGCAAAGTTTCTTGAACCTGAAAGATGTGGAAAATCACCGTAGAAATTCCACCTTAAATAGAGTAATTTCCTTGAGAGATACGCGAAAAGACAGCTAAACTCAAGTGCGGCCTGAAGATGCTTTTCTTTGCACAAAAATTGCGCGATTTCGATGCGCGAAAAGTGCGGAACGTCCAAGATTGATTTTCTCCCGGATCCTTTTTCCGGGTTTGGCGTGCAAAGCGATGAAAAAGGGAAAGTGTGGAATCGATTCCCTGGTGAAATTCCATTAAGTTGCGACAAAGGGCGCTCCTTGAAGGGCTCTCTTGTCGCCCAGATTCTACATTTCAATTTCAATTTTCTCATGGGGTCCATTGAACTCTCCTGTGGGACTCGCCGAACCCACGTGCGCCTTCCCGCGCGCTTCGCCGGGGTCACTAGACCAACGAACTTTTACTTTTTTTCAGCTCTGCCGCATCTCAACTACAACTCCGAGCCACTTTTTCCCGAGCTGTGGTGTTTTGTGCTTGGGTAAGAGCGCGGGAGTCATAAACCACGAAATTCCCTTTTCGATTGTAAAAGTGCGTGAGGGTGAAAATGCTAGAAATGGAGCAAAAAAAAGCAGGCTTTTTGCCATGACTTTGTAGGGTTTTTCAAAGGGAATTTTGTATTATTTCACAGAGGATATCAAGCGTGGACAGTGACTAAATGCTGCAGGGAAGTTTGTCTTCCTTGAAATTACATTTCTTGGAAGAGAAATTTATTAATACACTCTCTCTCCTTTCTTGCTTTTATAACATTTATGGCGGTTTCTTTTCCGATTAATTTTATACACAATTTTCAACACAGCAAATGATAAGAAATCCGAAATATGGAGAAACGCGCGCGAAGGAAGACTTGCAATAGAACAAACATCTCATTGTTCAATTGGGAAATTAGATACATTCCTGATAAGAATGTTGAATATATCCCTCTTCTCGGCCTGTAATAATCCCCATTCCTTTCTCTCTCTCTCTGGATGGCAAGGATGTCAGCCAAACACTTCCTCTCTACCCTCATTCTTTATTCTTCCCCATCGAAAATTCAATTCCCTTAACGCACACACGCACACACACGCAACGCACCCCCGAAAATTTGTGGGCGAAAATGTTTCCCGACCAACCTATATTTTTCCCCGAAAGAGAAAGCTCACGAGGGTCGTTGAACTGCTGCAGAGAATTCCTTGGCTTGCGCGCATCTTGGGATGCGTGGATAGTAAGGGTGGTCGCGCCCTCCTTTGTCGTCACATCAACGAAATTATTGGGGTTGAGTCCCGAAAAGTCCCTCGATTCCTCCTGGCATTTCTTCTTCCTTCGGGGGGGTGAACGGCCTCTCTCCGAGAGCAGGGCGAATGCTGCCTTCGCCAGCACTCCGTGTGCCGTGTGTGTATATTTTTAGCTCCCCAGTGGGGAACACTTTCTCCCTGACCCACTTTCCCTCGATGCCTCTCCGTCCGGGGGGTTGGGGCGGTTCGTCACTAAGACGCCCGCTGCTCTCTGCCTACCGCCGAGCGAAATTGGCGTTCATGGAGTGCGAGGAGCGCTGGATGTTGTTCACGTTGCTCTTGATGCGCGACTCCACGGTCTCCCGACTCACGGCCTTGTGGAGCTCCTTGTTGATGAAGTTCCTGTCGAATTCACGGCCCTCCTCCCTGGCCTTCTGCACGCGATCATCCTCCCGATAGCGCCTCACGTTCCTCTCGCGCTCCCGATCTCGCCACACAGCGTTGTCCATCATCTCCCGGCGCTTCGCCTCCTTCTCCGCCTCCGTGAGACGCTGGCGCTCCGGTCGTGTCCAGGCTTTGGCCTTTCGCGAGCTCGTCTCAGTCTCTGACGGCCTGGATCGCTCCTCCCGGCGATGTTTCCCCTCAATCCTGATGGACTTCCCATCGGCAGACACCAGCCCGTAATTCTTCGTGACTATCCTCGAGCTTCCCTCGTCGTCATCCATCACTCGCCTGGATCGCACCGGCGAAGGACTCCTCTTGCGCTTGCTGTGCTTCTTCTTGCTTCCCATCTTGTCTAGCTCCTTGGACAGCTTGTCATACTTGTCCTCCAGCAGCTGATTGAGGTCCAAATTCGCCTCTCCCTTCTCGTCATTGATCACGGATTGGATTTTCTTGTACTTTTTCGCCAACAATGCATCCAAATCGCCACCATCAGAGTCAGAACTTGAGCTCCTCCTCCTCTTCCGCTTCTTCTTGTCCTTCTTCTTGCTCTTCTTCGACGATTTGGGCTGATCCTTCTTCAGCAATCTGTGCAACTCCTTGAGTTTCACGGGATTCTCCAGAATCTTCCTTCGCGACTCCATTTCCTTCTGCTTTATCGCCATCAGGGGATCCTCCATGATCTTCCGCGCCATGTCCACTTGCTCCCCACCCTGAGTGCCCCGAAACGCCCGGATGGAGAACGGTATGCACTCGTGCTCGACGTGATTCTTGGGCACAGTCACGCCAATCAACTGATTGTCCGCTTCCGCGGTGAGTTGCTCGAAGGTCTTGTCCACGGGCCTGCCCAGGAGGTACTCCTCGCGATTCACCAACTCCGTGGGGCCCTTGTACATCCACTCCAGCTTCTTATCTTCACCCATGTCAATGACTCCGGAGGTGTGTGCTATTTTCTTCAACTCCTCCCGGCTGCGCTCCTCCGAGATCTCCTTCTGCAGCTCTGCCATCTTCCTCTTCTCGGCCGCATCCGCCTGCTCCACCTTCCACACGCGCTCCTGGTTCTTCAGCGTGTTGGGATGCCAGGACTTCTTGGCATTCTGGAAGACGTGAGAAGGATCCGTGAGACACGGGATTACTGCAATTACGCTTGATTTACTCACCAAATCACCACCACCCATGATAGCGTCGAGTGTTTATCTGGCGCAATTGACGGATATTTAATGAGAATTTCCAGAAGAACAGAGATAAAGTGATAAATATAGCCTTGTCGAGAATCAAAACAAACTCAGATGTGACGCCGACATAACCTCTCAGTGTTGCCAGATGTGTGGTTGTCAAATTGACTTGCATGCATGTTGATTATTCGAAAACCAACCGAAAATCTTTCAGTTTTTTCACTCTTGGATTGAAAAATTAGTGATTAATTTAGGAATTTCAAGGGTTTATTTCTCAATTATTTCATACAGCAACATAAAAGAAAACTACAAGTATCTTTTAAATATACTTAATGGTTGTTCTTCCTTTCTCTTCATCTTTTTCTTCTCAAATACATGTAACTAGAATATATATTATTCTATGTTTGTTAATAATCATTTTTATCATTCAAAAAACATCCTTCCTTTTGGTTTCTCTTGCACTTCTTCGTATTCCCAAATGAAGGATTTTGACGAAAATGAGAAAAAATCAGTGGGTTTCAAGGCTCAAGAATCTCCAAGAATGGATTAGAAGTGCTGTATTTAGTGGATTAATTTGTCATGGGGAAGCTCGATAAGGAATAAATTACACTTAAATGGTTAATTAGTTGGTTTTTTTCTTCTCTCACTGTCGTGTGTGTGTGTGTGTGTGACTTTGATAAGACATAAATTATTTAGGATATCTTCCTAGTCTCAAGCATCTTCACGTTCTCTTATCAAATTTATTTAACTCCTAAATGTATCAAAATATGAATTCAGTGCTACACTGGTGCTTTTCCTCTTTCATTTCACTGCTACACTTATTCATTCTTAACTTCATCCTCTCTTATCTTTAGGAGAACTTACTTCCATTGATAGTTTTCTCTAAGCGGTGGTCGATGGACTTGGAGGAGTTCTACAATCTCTTCTTCTTCTACTGTTTCTTCACTACCAAATTGTTCTTCTGTAAAAATCGCCTTATTCACTAGAGAACATTCAACAGTGGCAGTATTTGTCAGTTTTGTCTTGGATGTCGAGGGACTTATTTATCTCACTGAGTCCGTTTCATGAATGGAGAGCAATTTATATATGTGGACAATCCACCAAAGACCACATCTTAACAACTAAGTTTTTTTCCATAATGCATTTCGCTGTGCGCTGAAGAGAAATAGAGCAAGTTAACAGGAAAGATTTTTCAATGTTCGATTTTCCTTCTTACAAATATATAGATATATAGAACAGTATTTTTTTTTCTTAAGAGTTTCCACATTGAAAGCACAAAAGCGTCTCGCACTTTTCTTTTCTTTTTTTTAAATATATTTTTCTATTACACTATCTTAATGATTTCTTTCTTCTTCCCTTTTTACAAATGTTGTGCCACACAATTAATAGCTCGGAAAAGCTCTCCTCAAAATATTTCTTTCTCTTTCTCTTTATTAGTTTTTTCTCTTTATTTTCTGTATAGGCCCCAAAAATTCCTCTCATCTTTTTTCCTTTTACAAGCTATAAATTGCATTTCTTCTTCTTCGTTTCACCTTTCTTTTTCTTTTCTTAAAGCAAAAAAGAGACTCACCTACAAAATCAACTGTGCAGTTAAAGTGTGACCTTTTTTTCACTCCCTCTTCTTTCACTACAAGGAAAAGCTGTGACAAAACGTGCAAAAAGATTGCGAGCAAATCAGGAGGTCAAACATAACAATATTTTGCTATTCAAAACCCTGTAAGAATGCCAGTCCCACCTTAAGAATTTCCCCCTCATTCATTCACTGAAATTTCACACACACATCCTCGCGAATTGCGCGACCCCAAAAGAAAAAGAAAAACAAGCACGACTGAATAAGAAGAAACTGAAAGAAAAGCATGCAATCAAAAAGAAATAAATGATCAAATAAGTAAAATAAAAGTTTATTTCCTTCGTCTTCGTATTCCTTTCATTTACTCTTCTCTTAAAATAAAAGGTGTATAATAGAAATTAAAAAAAAATTTCAAGTGTGTGATTTTTCCATTTGCTCTTGTGAGTTTTTCTATATATATATATAAAGGACGTGAAGTTTTGGTCATACAAAAAAGCTACAGAAAGTTACTTTTCTTAATACCTAAAAAAAAACAGAGGACAAAAATATATGGCGGAAAATAAATTTGTGATTTACACTTAAAATACTCTTAATTCTGCTTTCTTTTTTTTTCGAGAGAGAGAAATCAAAACATGACAAAGATAGTAAATTGTGCATGAATTTTATTTTGCACGATTTTCTTCTTAATGAAATATTTAGCTGCCGCTCAAAGGGTTTGTTCATAAATTCACGGGGGGGGGATAAAAAAAGACAGAGAGATCAAAGATTTACTGATGATGAAAAGGGGAAAAAATAAATGAAATTGAACACTTCAGCGTCTAATTTGTAAATCTTACAAACTAATACAAAAAAAATTAATAATTCTACAGTCATTTGAGAAAAAAATAGCTGCACGAATTCATTTTCCACCACATTCTGTAAAACTATACATTTGTTGCTCTTTCTATCTTTCTTTCTTTCATTTCTTCTTTATAATAATGTTGTAGAAAAGGACATGAGGACAGAAAAAACTTGGACAATATTAGTTTAAAAATAAAATATAATAAAAAAAAAGATATTTCTATTTAAATTAATTCAACAAAATAATTATCGTCTAATTGCATGTGATTTCATAAGACAAGTAAATAAGATTTGCTCAATTACTTCAAGTAATTATATTACAACAGACGCACACAAAATTTGTGTTTGATAAATTCTCTTATTCTGCGGAATTTTTTATGCTCTCTTTTTTTTCACTCTTTCCAATAAATCATCATCAGAATAGACGGAAAAAAACACAATGTTTTTTTTTCTTATCTTGTGCATTTCTAGCGATAGAGAGAAAAGTTAATGATTTCACATTGTGTCATTTTTTCTTTTTTTTTTTAAGCAATTCTTGTCAAAACTAAAGCTGCGCATTAAAGACATTTCAAATAGAGATTCTTTTTTTCTGGTTTTTCACCTTATAGAGTATTTAAATATACAGATTCTTACTCCTTTTTTTCTTGTTGCTTCTTTTCAATAAATAATCCACAGAGGCAGAGAACGGCTTTCCTTTACTTCCCAGTTTTCCGTCATTTTTTTTCTAATTGTTTGCTTCATTTTATTATTTTATACATCCCTTTTTGTGATGATCTTCATTTCTCACTGTTTTTTCTTCTTCTGAGAAGTAATTTGTTTTCTTTTTTTCCTGTTCCTACACAAAAAATTCAGCAAAATGATGATTTGTGGCTTAACTAAATACAAAAAATGTTTTTCATTTTTTTTTATTGCACTTTAAGTGCAATTTCTTTGTTAGCATTTTCTTCTTTCCACTTCTCAATAATAGCAAGAATAAATACATCAATTACTCGTAATCGATTCGTTCGGTTGTTTTGGTGAGAAGGAAAGGCAATAATTTAAACATTACATGTTGTCTTCGTCAAAGCGCCACGCGCACTTTCCTTTCCCACAAAGCGACCGTCCATCAGGAAATTGGTTTTCTTTCTTTCTTTTTTTAACTACATATGACAAAGAGAGACATTTTACACGTACGTCGCAACATTTCCTCCCTGATTCGGTGGCGGATTGTGTGGAATTGGTTGTGGACTAACTGGTTGCTGTATTTTGCCAGGAACATATTGACCAATGAAAGATCCATCCTCTGTGAATTGTCCTGCTGGAAACAAAGTCATCAATTAATTCTGCGCAATTTCGACAGTGAAAAAAAATCAATATTTTGCAAATTTGTGCATTAAGAATCTTCTACTGCCAAGTGTGCTTTTTTCTGCCAAATAACAACAAAATGCGCAAAAATACGACACAAATAAAAAGAAAAGAAAAAAATCCAACGTACCTCAAAATTAACTTAAAAAAGTTTTCTATGTGGAAATAAAAAACTTAAGGCATAAGTGGGCTAAAAACTAATATGCGAATCCTTATTTTGTTGATTTTCTTCATCAGTTGCAGATTCTCATTTTTTTTCATCTTCCGTTTTTGATTATCTCTTTCTTTTTCGCCAACTTTCATCCTTTTTCTCGGCCTTTTTTTTCTTAATTGCCTTTGTGTCTACACAAGCGTGGCAAATGCCTGTGAATTCGTCTCAGGATTTCGTCCTTTTCGTCCATATTGACCAATGAAGGAACCGTCTTCATTCATTCCCTCTGAACATAAAAGAAAAAAAGAAGCACAACAATGCGGGGAAATCAAAAAAGCAGGCAAAAAAATCAAGGAATATGAATTGTTTCTTCATTTCTTATCCTTCTGACGATCATCGCTCATTTTTGTCGTTTCTTTCATAAGAGCGACAATCGCCAAAAGAACTAGAAGAAATCACCAAATCACACTCCTTTTTCGGCAACAATGTTAATCAAAATGTAAATTAATCACCAAAAAAACAAAGGGACACAAAATTTCACGTTTTAATCGGGGGGAAAGAGAACAATTAATTGGATGAGATAATGAAATGTTTGTATTGAAAGGCGCACATTTTATCAAAAATTATTATTAATAACTTGTGCTGCAAAAGCGCCTACGAAACTCACCTGTGTCGCCCTCACCATACTCAGCCATCGAATCTGTGTCACTTTCTGGTCCATGCTTAGTCTGATTGGAACTCAATGATTGTCTACCTTGGCTCTTATTGTCCAAGCTGCGCTCGTGTGTTTGTTTTTTTGGGTTTTGTTTTGTGGTATTGCAGGAAAAGAGGTTTTTTTGTTTGGAGGGAGAGAAAAAAGAAAGCAGAAAACACATTAATCCACCGTTTAAACTTACCCCAAAGAGAGAGACTTCAAAACAATTTGTCTTTAATCCAAACTTACGGCTGCGAATACTCATGGAAGCCACCCTCTTCCGGATAATCACGCCTCCCATTTGCCATCTCACGATCATGGACATCATACTTCCCACCACGATTCCTCTTGATGATGCAGATAACAATGAGAAGGAGCAGCAGGAAGGCAATTGCCAGCATCATGCCAATAAACCATCCCGCAGTGGCGACATTCTCATTCGGCACCTTTATCGGTCCCTCTGCAAAGGCCACAGAATTGTCACAGGGAATTCAAAGAAGAACAGCAGCAGAAAACACTCACCAATGCCATAAGTGTCCACCTCCTGCGAGCCACTCTCCGTGAGATAATCCCCATCCACAGCCACGACGCGGAACTCATAGTTGGTCTCCGGCTGCAGACCGCGCACAATCAGCGTGTCCTCATCCAGCTGCGGATCCGTCGTCTGCCACTGACTCTCGCCCTTCACGCGATACTTGGCAAAGAAGTGCGATCCAGGCTTGCCATCCAGATTCGGGAACCACGTCACTTTGATATTGGCCAGGCCATTGTCACTTGGCAGACGATCCCAGCCAAACTGAGGCACATCCGGAGGCACTGACAGTCCAGTCAGTGTCTTCTTCTCGATGTAGAAACTGAGAAAAAGACAAGCAATTTGTGTTAAAACCAGCAAATCAAAGCAAAACAAGACAGAAGAAGAAAAACTGCAAATTCCTCCAAATGCCTATTATTATTCCCAGAGATCAATATCACTCATTTGCATAAGCTATAATGCATTTTTTCCCCAGCATTCTAGGCAAGAGGAATCAACAGGTTTTCCATTCATACTTTCTTGTGAGCTATGAAAATGTATTTTTATAGGATTATATCAACTACTTTCAGTGTAAATCTCTTCCGTATCGGATTTCTTTGTGTAGTCAAACAAGAAATATACTCACGGTTCGCCTTCACCAGCTCTCGTTGTCGCTGTGATGTAGAGTCGATACTTTGTTTCTGGCTTCAATCCAGCCAATTTTGCTCGTGTGGCTCTTGGATCACTGATATGTGGCTCTCGCTCCATTTTGGTGCTCAGGAAAGTCCCCTTCACCTCTTCATAGTAGATCTTGTAGCCCTGCAGCTCACCGTTCGGCTGCAGTGGCCTCTTCCACACCAGCAGGAAGGCCGATGAACCGAGTGGGAAGGCGTCCAGCGACTGAACAGTGCCGGGAACGCCTTCTGGCGTCTGGAAGGACAGCGTTTCACTGGGTGGACCATTGTAGCGACTGTTGTAGACGAGCACTCGTGCGAAATTGAGGGCATTCGGTGTGCACTTGTCCACCAGAGCACGATTGGAGTCACCCTTCACGTGAATCTCCCTGAGATTCTCCTCGCCCTCACCCTGAGTCCACACCTGAATCTTGTACCCCTTGAAGTGACCCCTGACAGACTGCTCAGACACCGGATTCCAGCTCATCAGAGCCTTTGTGCTGTCAGTGACTTGCAGCAGAGTGAAGTTCTTCGGCGCCTCCAGTGGACCTGAAAGACACAAAGTGATTCAAATCAAATGCTCAGTATTTTTAAGGATTCTTCACCAACTTACGATCCTCCCCAGAGTATCCAATCACCGGACTTGCCATGACATTCGACTCTCCCATTCGATTCACTGCCACAACGCGGATTCTGTACCGCGTAAATGTTGGCTGGTCGCGCATAATCAGCTCCGATTGACGCCAATTGGGTATTGTCTCTGTATTCACCTGCGCTCCAGGGATCTCCTGATTCCAGTACACGCGGTACTGGAAGAGCGGAGCATTGTGCTCAATTTCGGGCATTGGCTGCAATGAAATCGAGATTTTATGGTCCAATTACGACAGTTCCTAGAAAACTAGTTCTTTAACCATTATTAACAAACTCACCGTCCACTTGATGATGAGATTATTGGGCTCACTTCCCTTGCCCTCGACATTGTCTGGATTCTTGTACGGCACATCGGGCTGCGTGGTGCACACATCACTGTGTCCGGACGGCGTGGATGGACCCACTTTGTTCCACGCGATCACGCGGAAGGTGTAATTGGCCCACGGACTCATGAACACGGCGAAAGCGAAGTCCGTGGCTGGCACCTTCTCGTGCGCCACTTCCCACGTGTCCGGCGTGAAGGAGGTGTTGTACTGGATGGTGTAGTGCAGAATGGGCGCACGATTGTCACCCTGAGGCGTCCACGACACCGTGGCATCGCGCGCATTGCACACAACACTGAGCAATTGCGGTGGATTTGGCACATCCTGCACTGTCAGCGTCGCCTGAGCGCGCGCCTCGTCCAATTCCGTCCTGGCGACACAAATATAAATGCCCGAATCCAGCTCAGTGGTCTTGGAAATGGTCAGTGAATTGTCATTGGTTTTGACAAAGCGTGGTTCACTCTCAAAATCAATAATCTCCCCATCCTTCAGCCACTCAATCGTCAAGTCCAGCGACGAATCCGCCATGGCATTGCATCTGAATGTCGCCGGTGTGCCAGCAATAACTTCATAATCCTCCGGAGCGTCACTTATCTTCGTGTGTTCTTTGACAATCAGCGTCCCATTTGCATCCTTGCTGCCGAATTTATTCACAGCATAGCACGTGTAGTCACCAGCATCGGCAAATGCCACATCACTGATCTGCAAATCACCATTGTCGAGAACCTTGTATCGTCCGCCCGTCAATTCCAACCCATTGCGAATCCACTTTACTTCGGGCTTTGGCGCACCGAACACTCTGCACACCAGCGTGACAGTTCTCCTGTCCACAGTGGCTTCCAGGCGTGGCAACTCGACAATCTCCGGCGGCAGAGCCAACACATTGAGGTAGAAATCTTTGTAGACATATCCTAGAGAATTGGTGGCGTTGCAACCGTAATTTCCAGTATCCAACTTCTTAATATCACGAATCGTTATGCTATTGGTCGTGACAATTCGTCGATCATTCACCGGCGACTCCTGAATGGGCTTCCCATTGTGAATCCACTTAATCACAGGTTCTGGTGATCCTGAAGCCTCGCAATTGAACGTGACTGTTTCACCCTCGGCGGCATTCTGTATTTCCGGTTCAACTGTGAAATACGGCGTGGCGAGAACTTGCAAATTGATAGAATACGATTGAGCATTTCCCACGCCGTTCGACGCTTCGCATGTATACGTTCCGGCATCCTCAAATGTCGTGTGTTTTATCACCAGTGACTTGCCGTAGTGTCCTTGCGACACACGATCACTCCAAAATATCGACTGTCCATTCTTCGTCCACACCGTTTGCGGCAATGGCGTTCCGCCGAAGATGCAATATATCTCAACACGCTTTCCACGCAGTGCCACCTCATTCTTCCTCGTCACATACTGTTGCTGCGGCGGGTGGCGATTCTGTGTGGGCGAAATGCCCGTTTGGTGCACCTCCAGCATCACACGATTGCCCAATTTGTACTCATTGCGGAAAGCAGACATCGCGGCACAGGCATAGTAGAAGTCATCGGACGCATCGTAGCGTGTGACATTGGAGAACCAGAGATTTCCCTCCGGATCGAGTGTCATGCGTGAATTGTTGATGCTGAGAATGCCGCCGTCGTAGTTCTGAATCAACCAGTAGACATTGGGCTTTGGCCAGCCATCCGGCGGCTGACACTGCAGCTTGAAAGGCTGACCCTCATTTGCGGACATCAACTTCGGCACGTCATCCTTGAAGTTATTCAACTCCGCCTTTCGCACAAACACCGAATTCGACGTCGCGATGCCGTGCTCATTCTCAGCAAAGCACTGATACTGTCCCAAGTCCTCATCTCGCGGCCTCGTGATGACCAGCGTTCCTCGTCCAGGCTGCTGAGACATGCGATCATCGTACACTTGCCAATCGAACTTCTTTCCGTTCTTTATCCATCGATATCTGAGGAAAGGAAACAGAGAGAGTGGAATATTAGCAAACAAAACTCTCTTCCTCTATTTCTCTGTCTTCAAATCACGAAGCGGAAACGCAACATTTCATCTCACATTGCGCACATTTGACCTATTAAACTTTTTGGAATTATAATGTTCTCGATTTTCTATAAATAACCCCCATCAGCATACAGCATAGAATTTCTTGTAATTCTCTCCTCTGCCACTTCTCATTCTCACTCACATTTGGTCTTACACACTGGGAAAATGTGTGTTTTATTCTCGTCAATTGAGTCAAGGTTGCTCAACAGGCAATTCCATCTTCACACACACACTCAAACACAAAGTGAAACAGAGAAAATTATGCTACTCACAATGTGTTATAAGAAAATTTCTATGCCATCGTCATACTTGCAATTTTCCAGTGTCCCAAGTAATCATCATCGTCATCTTTCACCCTCTCAAAGACGATAAATATAAAATTTTATTAACTCCCACTGTGCGTTTTTCCCTTCATTTTCTCTCCACTTCTTCTCTTCATTCCAACCGCTTTTCCAATAGGAGGATTTATATTTATATTTATAGGCCTATTGCTATCCGAAATATTTCTGGGAATAGCTAAATTTAATCACACATCGAAAGCAGAGAAACAATCTCAGATATTTTCACTCTCTCACTCTCTCTGGATACAAATTCTTGAACGAACGAGAGATTATTGGAGCAATTCTGAGTCACACAAGATATGTAAATATTGTGTTATATTAGTTTAACACACGTTTTTGCTATTTTCAGTCACATGTGAAAGGATTAAAATGGCGTTAGTGTAAAAATATTCACCACTTGTGTTATTTGCTATTCTGGCCAACACGTGTTAATCCATTTTGTATCTTTTTAAATCTACAAATATCTTGCAAAAATGGATCAATCTGTGTTTGTAGCTTTAATTTTCAAGCATGAACATGAATTATGTTTTCAATAAATTCTTTTTATCACGGATTAACTAGTTATGAACTTGAATTTTAGTAATTCTGACAAATTTCACAATTTTTCCTCTCTTACATTTTATGGAATCGCTTAAAATGGTCTGTTGGAACATGTTAAACTTTTACATGTTTAAAATTTATCATTTTTGTGTGTGACTAAGAATTGCTCCTTATGTGTTCATTGTAAGTGTGTGTGTGTTGTGTTAAATATTCGCTTTCATTCAATTCTCTTCTTTCATTGGCAAAATGTATGACAGTCTCTTTCATTGATGCTGATTTGCATCTCTTCAACTCACTCCACTTCTCTAATTACGCAAATTGTTAAGACTTATAATCCAGTTCAGAAGTTTCTTTCACTGACAATACAACAATATTGAGCAAAATATAACAGAGAATGATTCAGCAAATACAATTGTGTACAATTATATGAGGAATTATTGCACCAATTTATCCGAAAAGATGAACTGAAATAACTATTTATTAGAATAACAGACATTTTACTCCTTTTCACAATATATTTCCCAACTTCAAATTCACCAAAAAAGTTGTCTTGAAATAACATTCAATCCCCATTTATAGAATCACATCTTTGTGTCACAACTTAATCTCCACATTTATCTCAATGTTCCACTTTGCATTTGCTAGACTAGAAGACAAAAGTATATAATATTCATCTTAACAAGATGAATTTGTGCAAAAAGAAGAATGAAATTGTTGAGAATTGGAAGCGGAAATGTCTATTGTAATTATGTATAAAAAAAAAGCCCAATTGTAGATGCAATTAAAGAAAAGTATCCTATTTGAAAGAACATTTTCTTCTTACGCCACTGAGCGAAGTAACCGAAAAAAGACCCCAAAACTTTAAATGGTCATGTCTTTTCTGAAGGCGTTGTGTGTGCGCTGTAATATGATTTATTCTAATAAGAGTCAACCACAGAATATATCCAAAATAACCCGCACCATTTCGACTCATCAGACTTGATGGAAGAAAATAACCGAAGAACGCTCCGATGAGAGACATTCTCCACACTCTCGTCAATTCCTCTTGATACACAATCCACACTATTATTGTCTCTGTATGACACTGGCGCACGAGATGTGCCACATTTAATGTTAATTAAATTTTAATCTGATTTGATTTATATGTCACGCAGTGCAAGGGAACATTAAATTGGGGTTTGGGTCAAATCTCTACTGTCTTTCTCTATCCAAAAAGGTGGCAAAATTCATTTTCATATCAAAAAATCCCGTCCCAACAATAAAACATTGTCCACATCTCTGCCCTCATTCAATTGTTGAAGCCCATTTAATAGGATTAAAACACGAAAATTTATTATTAATCCACAAATGATGTGATACATCATGTTGATATTCATTAACACCCTCGCGCAACTGCGCTCTCTTCGCGCCCATTCATCCATCACACACTTGTCTTCTCATCCTCCGCGGTCGCCCAGTGTGTACGAATTGTTGGCACAAAAGGCAAAACATGGGAGTCAGAATGGAGATAGAATACTATTGTGTGCCATGTGCGATATTGGACAGGTGTCCGAGAGTCCAAAGGGTGTCTCACAATGCGCAAACTATAAAACAAACTCGTCTCTTTAGGAAGCAGTTTCATTTCCTTGCAGCAAATTTCATAGCTTAGTTTGGCGGCCGCCCGGTGGCGCTAGTGTAAAGTACTGTAAATCAAATTCCCCAATTGGTATCCTTGGAGAGCTTGTGGCGGTAATTCCACTGCCATGGCGGCCTTCTCCTCCTGATGAGATTCTCGCTGTTAGCATTATTTGACGGTAGAGGCAGCACTGAGGTCAGTCAGTGAGTCATATCGTGATCACGGAGCAGAGAAGTGCTGAATGAATGAACATTCAGCACTTAATGAAATACAAGCGAGAAGACGTTGCAAGGCAAAGTTTGGGTTTATTTAATACGAATTTCAACTGTCAAACGCGAAGAATGAATTCAACAGGGCGAAACTGTCAGCGATTGTCTAATATCTCTCTGTTATTATATGGTTTTCCGCAGATTCTTAAAGGATTCTGCTGACCAGAATGTCCGGAAAGATGTCATTGTTGTGACATTTGAGCACAGTCACGTTTTCATACTCGCAAATGCTGTCTAAACGCAATTGGAAACACATAACCTCAATCTGGTGCTTTGAAATGTGCACAACTGGCCAGAAAAATCCAATTCAAAGGAGGTAAATTCTCCACTTGGATTATATTTGATTTTTTTAATAAATCATTTCATATTGTTGACAGCTTTTTTAATATGTTATGGAAGTAAAGTTGCAACGACGAGTCAGTAAATTTGACACGCAAAAACCTTCATTTCCAGTAAGAATAAAGAAAAATATAGCAAGAAAAACATGAAATTTCATTAGAAACAATGACAAAGAGAATTAAAATTCATGCTTTTCCATTTTTTTCACTGAGCAAATTTCAATTTGATCAAACCATTATTTGATTGGGAAGTATTGGAAAGTGAGACACCCTAAATTAAAATCCCACCACGTTCACACCAATTGTAAATTGAATACAATTGTCAGCAGAATAATTGGACAAATTGGATTTTGGTCAAAATTTACAACTATTCACACAACTCACGGAAATGCTTTTGCCATAACTAATGTTTGATTACTCCAAACATAGAGAAATGTGTGTGTGTCTAAATTCATCAAATATCACCCACAAGCGCGCGTGTCACAAATAGATAAATACATGTGAAACCCTCTGCAAAAACATATCACAAAATCCAGGGAATGCAATAGGGATCAAACCAATTACACCGCAATGCAATTTAATACCCACAAGCAAGGAGAAAATTGCAGAGGAATTGCAGTTTGCATGCTATTGAGTAATTGTACTTGAGGAGTGAGAGACAGTGAGATGCATAGATATTGAGCAAATGAACTGCATTCCGAGAGTGATTAACACAAGTCCTTCTCCTCCGAAATAGAAGAAAGAAAAAGAATCCACGAGATGACTCATCGTTGATAGTCATTTACATCAATTAATGTTAATTAACAGCCAAAGTGGGTGTGTTAGAGAGGCACAACTTTTCCTCCCTTCGCCTTCGTGTGCCACACTTCGGCCAACAAATGGGTGTTTGTGTCCGCAGGCAAATTGTCAGACTTTTGCCGCCGCCACGAGGGAATTTTATTTATTTGGAACTTTTCATCCCCCTCGTGTGTGAACGACAAAACAGGGTGTTCACAGAGACACCAACTGTCTTGTACTGTTAACGAATGAATCATTTGAAAAGTACATTGGATTAAAAAGGAATTAGATGCAAAGCATGATTGGATTTTCTCTTTCTCTCTTTCTAAACTTTATTAAATGACACACAGTGATGACTCGTTAGGAAATCCTTCTTTTCCCTTCATCAGTTTCCTTGCTTGAGACTGACCTAACTTTCTGTCATTATGGCAAAATCTGACTTTGAAATCACTTTCATATCCTGATGAATAATTCCACAGTTGATATCTTTCATACCATCAAGCCATTGTCCTCGAGGAAATAAAGTTTACCAGCGTCTTTATAAGATGCCAAGATCAATATTGATAGAAAAACACACACATTGAATCAACAGATACAAGGAAAATCTCTCTCGCTCTCTCGAGTTGTTTTATCCAAGATAAGAACAATCTCATTTGCTGCAAATCAATGATAATCCATGAAATACGAAAGAGTGAAAAACACCCCGTGAATTTTCCTGTCTAGATTTTCTCGGAGAAAGAGAGAGAATATTGCGATCATATCGAATGTTCCTGTTTCCTTATTTTCCCTCCCCATTCAGTGCCTCTCTCGCGCCCTTTGGAGACGTTAGAAGGTAAATCAAATAGAAATATAAGGGGAGGATTTCCACGCTACTCTCACACACACCCTCACACCCTTTCATTAGAGCTCCACACAAACTCTGTGTGTGTGTGTTTGGAAACGGTCGAATCGCTATAGCAGAAAATATACTCAACATGCAACAGAATTCCCTTTTCACAGCCAAGTGAAACTTTTAACTCGATCGATTCTTGCTTGTGCAAGCAAAAAAACCGAAAAAAGAATGAGACAAAATGGGGAGAAAAGTCTAATATTGACTCGAGTTGAAAGCATGCTGAAATGAAAAAGAGAGGACTTAACTATGATCACCTCAAGCTAACCAACTGCCATGAATTTTGCCATCACATTACACATTTTCCCTATCGACAATCGAAAAATGGCAAGAGAAGTTGAAAATCCCATTGAGGCATTTGTGAATATTTTCAGTGTCGTGTTTACGGATTAGGTTTACTGACCCCTCCTCACTAAACTTCAAACCGCATCATGCCTATAATTGTTACACACATATATAGAGAAGATAGAGAAGAGACCCATAAAAGCATATGGAAAACATAAAACTATCGCCCTCATTCATCATCCAGAAAGCGACCAATTGCGTGATTCCGCAAGAACCACGCGTATAGGGCTTATATCTAACGAACACACACTAATTCCATATGATAAAATTGCCTCCAGACAAACTGACTCGTTCCAACTGCTTCTGCTCTAAGAATTTAACCTCCTTTTTTTTATTTTACATTATTGCAATGACACGACATAATTTCCCAAAGGATATTGTAAAAGTTTTCTGCACAATTACACAGAAATCCAGGGGAAAAAGGGGTTGAAATAGTTCAAATTGCAACCATGATTTCTTCCATGTCATTAACTTTCACCGGCACGTGACTTTATTAGGAATGTTCTTAGTTGATTTTCCTCCTCTCTTTAAGAGACACATGGATTCATACATAATGTGTCCATCAGCTTTTTCTACAGGTCGAAATGGATAAGTTTGTAGAAAGGAAAATATATAACTTTGGTTCTTAGCCACTAAACACGCGACAATTTAGCACCCCGTTGACTTTATAACCCACCCACACCTTTTCTCAGTCTTTCTCTCACTCGATAGTGAGATGATTCATGAAGCCATCACGCGTGGGAGTTCAAAAGGACATCAAACACCTTCAATGAGGATTCTTCACTCTCGATGTGTGAACATATTTTTGGGCATTTTGACTTTGGAAATTTGCCAGAAAATCCATTCTTGTCTTGATGTCAGTGAAAGTCACAGTCTGCATTGAAAACCACCCCTTAGACAACCGCCAACGGGGCGTCTAATCGCTTCTCTCGCCGCCCTCGACATAAAATTCATTTATTGTTTTTCCAATTCTCAACATTATCCTCCCCTTCCCACTCTTCCTTCTTTCTTCATTGTGGCATTGAATGACGAGGAGGACGCCAAGCGTGAATACATACTTTCATGCAAACATCAACCCCCAACAACAAACCTCCACATCACGGGGTTTTGTGCCTTATTAAAACGCCAAGAGAAAACTCACTTATCAACTTAATGGGGGAGACTAAGACGACATTTTGAGCAAGAATAAGTTCATTTGCATTTCACTCTTGTATTTTCGTGCCTTTTCTCTCTCTCTCTCTCTTTCTCTCTCTTCCATGAATGGCTTTTAATGTTGGAAAACAATATTGCAAAATTCTCCCAAAGCATGAGGTAAAAAGGGAGTCTCAATTTCATATTAAATTCAGACTTTTATTATATACATATTCCAGAATATTTTACATATTCATGTCGTTGACAATAAATTTGGAACAACAATTTTCCCACACTCTCAAGCGCTGTGCACGCGAAATTCCCTCCCGAAAATTACAATCAAAAGTCAATGGAGTGTAATAATTTACAGTGACAATCGAATTGGTAACACAAATATAAGGAGTGCAAAGCGAATGTCTTGAGAATTTAACAATTAATCTACCTTCAAAGGCAAATGCACAAATGCAACAGCGAAGAGAGGAAAATAAGAGAAAGAGTTGGTTTTAGATTTCCCGCTGAGCTTCAACAACCCTCTCAAGATTGTAAACATGAAGCGTCGCATAATGAAAAGCGATCCCATATCATGTCCACACTTCTTCTCCACTCATTTTTCCCTACAAAACGTGATTCACCGAGTGCAATGTAACACTTTTTATAACCAGACATCGCATGTGTATGCTTGGGGAAAATAGAGCCACCCATTGAGCACTTTGTTCATGTCGATCGTTAAAGTGAAATAATATTTAGCAATGGCTCTTGTGGTGCCAAAGACGAGGATGTTACGAGAGAAGACGAGAAACGTGATTGATACAATGTAAACAAGAATATATGGGAGCCGCAATTTCTCTCTCTTCCTCTCACTCGCGATGTTGTCCTTTTCAGGGGTTGTTCAGGACACTTTTCTTTTCCTTTTTCTCTTCCGCCACAGACACGAGAAAATCAATAGGGAAATTTTCCATTCAACTTCTCTAAATCTCTCTCGTCTTTTTAAAGCGAGCGATAATCCCTCAAAGAGGATGACTAAATCTCATTTACAATCTTCAACAAAACCCTTGAAAAAGAGAAATTTCTTTGCTCTGTGTAATTCTGCACCTGTTAAATTTTCACGCGATGACTTGGGAAGAAAAATTATGCAAAAAAAGAATGGAATAGAAGAGAGAGAGAGAGATCATTGGCAAAAAGCAACCAAGGACGAGAAACTTTGTCTTCAGAATTTCTTGTCTTCATTTTTCTCTCTGTCTTCTCTCTCTCTTTTCTTCACAGTCGACTGTTGCTATAAATATTGAAAGAAGAGCATTTTATTTATGTACAATATGGAGCAGTGAAAGATAAAAATAAATTCACAGATGACGACAGATTGCAGACCACAAAATGCGGAAATAGCAGAACGACTACACATAAGAAGAAGAAAAAACATTTAATGTGATAAATGCATAAGAAGAAGACATTTTCACTTTGCAAAATTGTCAGCAAAAGCATTGATATTGAACCAGACATAATCTCGGATTACAGGAAAAGTTATCTCAAGGACTCAGAGGACTGAATAGTGTGTCTGAATACACGATGATATGGGCGAAAAGATGAGGGAAAATCTCATAAATGTCTGTCAACACATAGCGAAGGATGTTGATGTAAAATCAATTGTGAGCAAACATTCAAATGCTCTTCAGTGAATCATCTCTAATGCTTGCGATACAAATGGACAAAAAAAAGAGAAAGAGTGAGATTGATGATCCCTAATTTCCCTTCCGCGCTCTCTCTCTAAAGTGCTGATAGCCCACGAAGAAGTGCTGAAGAGATCGTTAATGGGGGAAAATAAAGGCAAAAAAGCAATTAGCAATTGACGGTCAGTTTTTCTACATCCATACAAAATTTACTTCAGCCAAAACGGCGAGTGTGTGTGGGAGAAAATACTGAAAAATCAACAGATTGTGGAGCCCGAAAGACAGACAATATGTGTATTTACCCTAAAATTTTGTGCCAGCTGTGAATTTTTCAGAGCAAATTGCGAAATTTCTGCCATTCCTCTTTTCCCTTTGCCGTCTTCTCTCCCTTTAGGACTCTGCACAGAAGCCTCCGAAATCCACTCTGATGGCTTTTGAGTAAATAACGAGCAAAATTTCTTTGCCAGCAGCTTTTTTCTTCTTTCATCTTGTACATAATATTCCACTTCAGACGACACACCAGCTGTCTGTATTAGTTTTGATTTTAGTTTAGGATATTAGGCCAAAAGTCCTCATCTTTTGCCAATAAATTCAACCCACAAAATCACGATGAAATCAGAGAGAGAAAGATGGAAAAGAAATACAAGGGAAGGAAAGAAAAACAGACAAGATTCGAGTGTTATGTCATCAAGTTCAATTGAATTGTCATGAATTGTCCTGAAAGCGAAGAGAAAAGGGGCAAAAAAATAATAACAAACTCCCTCACAATCTCTCAATGGTCCTCAAATGTCCTCAATTCAATGAGTGCACTGAATTGCTGAGCGCCCGTGAAGAGTTAAATGGAAAGTTGAGCATATGCCAAATGCCTATCAATCCTCCTTTTCCCTCTCATTCCCTTTTGGATGCTCAATCAAACGTCGGCATCGTCTAATAAATCCCACCGGGCCATCACAAATACACGCTATTCCACTCCTTTTGCAGCCTCCAAAAATGGGATGAATATGATACCATCGAGTATTATTTGGGGTGACAAAATGTCTCTCTCTCTCTCTGCAATTGTGCCACAAATTGGAAGAAGTGACAAATTCCGTGATGGTTTACGGAATGGGGGACAATAGCAGTTGGTTTTGGTTGGTGTGTGCAGACTATGCAAAGGACAGGAAAATGATCTTCATTAAAATAGAACGGGGGGAAATCCTGGTGGAATGTCTCAATTTATATCACGCATCTCATCATAATTATTATTTCACTGTAAAATTTTGTATATTAAAATGCCGGTGGTGGTGAAATTCCGCCCTCTTTTGAACATTATTCTCCCGTCTATCGCACTGTTTTAATTGCCCCCAAAACAGAGAAGAGGGTGTGTTTAGTGTACAGTTGAACGGAATTGATTATACAGACACGAAAGTATGATAAATATGCGGAATTAATGCAAATTTCTCACTGTATTTCGACTCTGCCTCGAGACTAGACGGTTTTCCTCTAAATATTTAAGCAACAGAGTGGCAAATACTCACTTTGGCGCTGGCTCTCCCTCAGCTTCGCACTCAATGAGAAATGGCTTGTTATTTTCCGCCTCTTGCAGTGCCACCTGGAACAGCAGTTCATCTGTTGGTGGTTCCTTCACAATTCGTGGCGGTGAATGAACTACAAGGCGTGACACATTGACCAATTAATTATTTAGCAAGGAAAAAAAGGACACTTTCAGTGTGAAAATTGTATTGAATAATTCATGCAATTCATTGGAAGAAGAACACTTACTCAGTGCATTTGCTGTGAGAAAGAGTGCAGCGACAAGACAGATACTCTGTCGCCACATTCTGGACTGCACTTTTATTGCTCCTTCCTCTCGTCAATTTTCTCCTCTCTTTTCCTCGTGCCGAGAGAAATCTTGGAGATTCACACTTAAGAGATTTCAAACTGAGAAAAAAGATCACTATAACACTAATATCGCAATTCTAATTAATATCGTTGACTTTCTCGCACAATTTTCACACTCTTCACCGCGCTCACAAAACACTCTTCTTCTTCTCTTTTCAATGGCAGCACAAAATTATTTTATTACACTTTCGTAGGGTTTTCTCCACACGACGTTCACCTCTTCCTGCAATGAGAGACATTTAGAGAAAAGACTTGCATTAGAAATTGCATAGAATTTAGTCATACGGGAAGTCAATTAGCCATATTTGCTCCATTATCATATCGCATAGTGGCGTGGAAAGTGAATGACTGTTGGAAATAGAGTACATTTTTTCTTTCTACCACATGAAATTCGACACGATATCCATCAGATCAAGTAACTTCTTCCCTCATTCCTTCTCCCAGCCGCGCACACCCTCAATTCCTGACTCACCCTCTAAACCTTCATGGCTCTGTAGAACAATGCTTTTTCACACACTGCTCTGTAATTTCTTCTCATGCAGAGTTCCTCGTTATATAAAAGCCCTCGAAAATTCTATTATTTTTATCTCTAACGCTATAAACATCAATCATCCAAACTCTTGATATGATAGAAAGTCTGATAGAAACTCTGCATTTCACAGAAGTCGATATGACTTATCATTCGCCATTTGACATTGAATCCCCAGAGACTTTGGCATGGGGATAAACTCTATTAAAGAGTGTATTTGACACTAAGCAAAGCACACAAATTTTCACACAATGACTTATTATTTGTCAGTGAAAATCACCATCAGAGCAACAATTCCCAACTGACTAAGTGCGACACAACCAATAAACTGTTTAGCTGGGCACTTTTGCTGTCTGCATTAGTTTTCTCTGACACAATCCTCCACCAGGATAACGTGGGAGAGGGACGGAAATAGGAAAATCGCTGGTGAAACGCATGCGTTGCTCCACAACCATCAGGACATCACTTCAAGGATACCACAATAATAATAGATTTTTTGCAATTTCCAGTGGATAAAAAATCCCCCCATCATTCCATATCTATCACTATAAACGCCCAATTATCTCGATTGGCAGATAGATTAAATCTCTCTATTGGCAAAAAGGATTCTAACAATAACATTGAATGAATAGAGTGTGCAAAAGCATCATCGGAAATAAAGTAAAAGTGCTTTGGAAGCTATCCAAGGACAATAGAAAATTTTCCCGGGGAGTTTCTTGAACCTTTTAAACACACAAACACATACAATTTGCCAGAGTGAATTTTAAATCAGGAAAAATTGATTCCGAACTGCAGTGGAGAAACACAACAGTGAATGATCAATAAAGAGAAGCAGACATACAATTTGCAATTATTCAATCGTCTGCGCCTGAGAAAATTGATTCACAATCAAACTCTAACAAACCAAATGGCAATAACCTCTAATTTTCCACATTTTCCACCGACATGTGCTCAATTCCTCTCTTCGCAAATGGTCTCTTTTCTTGTCATTTTCTCGGCTCACGCGAAAAAAAGAAAGAAAGAAAAACACCAGAATTGCCAGCCAGAAAATGCACGCGTTTTCCAGTCTTTAGCGGGTAAAAGAACTCAAAATAGAAAAATCAATATGTTTTATTTCACCTTCTTGCGCGTCTCTCTTCACACCTTTTCTCAGCTCCCTTTCGCTCTTCTCTCGCCGCCCCCTTTCCATAATGAGGCTATAAAGGTTGTTGAATCATCCATTGAGAGTGCAAAATAAAACAACTCAAGCCAAAACTGCCATTCATTACTCATCATATTGAGCATTACGAGCAATACATGTGACAATTCAATATCTAAATATGATTTAGCAGTCGTTGCAACATTACAGATTTCGTTTGTAAGTTCGTAAAATTTACGAATTTACGTTGCAATTTCCTTACACCTACTTTTGAGTTTTGGTTTAAAGAGTGTTTCTTTGCCCATTTTTCTCCACATTGACGTTCCTCACAAATTCATCTGAAAGATCTTCCTCAAGGAAGAGTCGAAGAATGTCCGGAAACACATAACCTCCATTAAGTAGATTGAAAAGTGCACAAATTAATAGATAAATTCAATCAATCTATCCCAATCAACCTATAAACATCATTATTGTCTATTTTCCTTAGTTTTCACGTGAATTTTCCGGCTTATAAACGTCTAAAACGTTTCAGATCTCGTAAAAAATAAATTCCTCACTTTCGTAAATGTTATGAATCGTACTATTGCAATGCAGTTCTACGAATCCATGAAAATAAAGTTACAACGACTCCTTAGCCAGTTAAAATACGAATTGATATTGTGAATAGTTTCACTTTTTATCCATGCACACACGGTGAATGATAAATTAATTACTACTATTGTACTCTTTTTTCCAGTGAGTTCTAGAAACACTATCACTGCTCGACAAACAGTGAAAACATTATAAGAGTCAATTGGTTTCAATTTTAATTGAATTCTCAGCGAAAGAGCGAAAGAGAGAGAAACGTAGAGCAAAGAATCCAATAAATCATGAGTCAGAGAATTGATGATATAATTAATTTGCAAAAGCACATTAAGTGCTGCTGCAAGAAGTTATTCTTCACATCCACAGTCGATGATTTAATTTTTCGTAACACTGAAAACTAATAACAAGCAATTAACATCCAAACACCGTTGGAATGATTGGAAGTGTAGCAGAAAAAGCAAAAGACTTTTCCGCAGGCGAATGAAGAGACGCGATGGAGAAAAACTGCATTTGAAAAGTCAACAAGACAGAGAGAGAGAGAGAGAAAAACGTGGTAAATTGTTTCCAATTTAACTCAACAACTAATAAGGCCAAGACAATCTGCAGAATTTTTCTCTCTTTCTCTCTCTGAAGTAGTGAGAATTATTAAAATGTAACTGTTTCAAACTGCAAAGCAGCAGATGCAATTGCCTAGCATTCCTCTTGTACACGATCTTTCACTCTTTTCCTAACCTGTTAGAGCTTAAGAAGCTGCACAGAACGATAGAGAGATTTCACTACCACACAAACTCCACTCGCCAAGACATTAAAATAATCTTAACGAGACTTCTTCTCATTCACAATTTATGAAGTCACTCTCTGAACTTATTTATATTGGAGAGAACCGTCATTTCCATACGCCTCTCGCTCTCGCCGTTCCCGCGTCTTCCCATCTGCCTCAACCAGCGAGTGCAATTAATTCATTTTGTCATAATATTCTGAGCATAATTGCTGTTTGGAAAAAATATCTTCTTCCCATTTAATTACTATTTGCACTCCAAAGCACAGAATGACTCTCAAGCACGCATTTTCCCTTTGTCAAACACAAACCGGGAAAAACAAAAAGGTGAAAGAAAGTTTATCTGAATTTTGTCTTGAAGCTTTTGAGAAATCTCTCAAAATAATCACTTCCAAACCACTCTTATTCAGAATAATAGTTTCGCTGAGCATCAATTAATCATTTTATCAAACAAAAATCTCTCTCAAACTTTCTTGACTAGCAATAAACCTCAAATTTTCACCACTAATAAACTTCATCTGAGAGCAGTTTATTTGCAATCTGTGTTGAATTTAAATGCTTTTCAGTGGAATTGTGTCAATTTTGCCAATGCTGAGTCAACTCTGTTCATAAGATCAGCAATTCTTCATCTTTGCATAATAGAAAAACTTTTTTTTATCTCTGCCAAAACTTTGATTTAAGGAGGGATTTAAGTGGGATTTGGTGGACAAAAAAAAGCGTCTGATCAGAATATTTTTGAATTTTCAGCCACTTGTCCAATAAGACGAATTTATCCTTATTCTTCTGGGCTGCAATTGGCCATGGTTATTGGATGTGATAACAACTCTTCTCAGCATCAATTCCCATGTGACGGCGGCTTAAAGCGAAAGATCATAAACCTCACGGACGCTGTAAAATTCCTACTCGTCTTTTATGTGCCAAATCGATCACTTCCGACCTAAACAAATGTGTGTTTATTTGCTCAGGGACCAGCCCGGTGTCCGACTGGCTGTCTTATCACTCCCACGCTCTCTTGGCGGGAGATTGTCTTGGGCAGAGAGAGGCTAAATCTGTCGCGAATGCTTGCAAAATCATAAATATTGGCGTGACGCAACCGCGGGCGACTTCTCGGCTGCTCTGCCATGAGATCACGGGCGGATTTAGCGGAGTCCGTCCAGGAGCGCCCCGCCACGGCGGACGGGGGCGCCTCGCGAGCGGCCGCGCGGCCACCGCGGCCGTGTGTTTAGTGCCATGACGTCATCAAAGTGTGCTCTGAGGTGCGAGGAAAACGCCCATTTGGCCCAAAGAGCGCCCCGCGACCCCAGGAGGCGCCCCGCGACCAGCAGGCGGCCGAGCTGGTGCTCAGAGGGAGCGAAAGGTGGCAGAAAGGTCACCCACCTGCGCTGGTGAATCCTTTGGGTGAAAGAAAAAAGGTGACTCCGCTGAAAGAGGGTTGCTTGGGAGACAAAGTCACACTTTTCTCTGCACTTTTAGCACTTGCACATTGCACTACGGACTACTTCCGCGTCGTCACACCGGATGCACTGATATTTCACAGCACTGTGCCTCTGGTTGGATCCTAACCCGTGAATTTAGGTGAAAACTTCTGGGAAAATGTTGGGCGCGGTGTGTCAATCAGCCATCTTCGCTGCTAGTGTTGCAAGGTGGCAATGTTTCACGAAATCTTCAGTCGCCGTTAACGTTCGCGCTGAAAGATTGGCAAGATTGAGACCTTCAAATTCAGCGATTTCCACCAAAATAGCAAATCAAAAATTGTGTTTTATCGTATAACTTCTTCATTAGCATATAGGAATCATTCTGAGATTCCTAGATTTTTAAAATATTGATGTATTAATTAAAAAAAAAAACATTTTTGAGCAGCCAAACATGAAATATTGAATTCGCCGCGGTTTTTCGCCACTTCTCTTCTGCGCTCACAGCGCCATCACGCGAGTGAATTCCCGGTGAAATGTCAATAAAGGGAGATTTTGTGGAGCTTCACGAGTGAATTATATTTTGCAAAATACCCTATAAATTGTCTAATTTCCCAAGTATTTTCCACTCGTGGGGAAAGTACAAGTGCCGGCAACTAAGAGAGCAGTGAAATTGGGAACTTTCACGTGGAGAGCAGCTTTGTGTTTGTGCGAGAAAAAACCAGCGTCTGTCTGGGAGATTTCCCCCCAAATACAGTGAATTTTCATTAAGGAAAATGTCTCATCACTACATCGTGACTGCCCAGAAGCCCACGGCAGTGACAGCATGTGTCACAGGTGAGCTGCGCGGGGAAATTGGGGATTTTCCGGGGATGATAGTGAGGTTATGTTTGCTCTTCCCAGGGAACTTCACATCTCCCACTGAGTTGAATCTCATCGTGGCGAAGAATTCCCGCCTGGAGATCTACCTGGTGACGCCGGAAGGCTTGCGGCCGGTGAAGGAGGTCGGTATTTACGGCAAGATCGCAGTGATGAAGTTGTATCGACCGGCGAACGAGACGAAGGATCTGATCTTCATCCTCACCTGCCGCTACGATGCCATGATCCTGGAGTGTCGCACGTCTGGCAACGGAGAGCTGGAGATCCTCACGAAGGCACACGGCAATGTGGCGGATCGTGTGGGAAAGCCCGCCGAGACTGGCATTCTGGCCGTGATTGATCCCAAAGCGCGGGTGATTGGGATGCGCCTGTACGAGGGACTGTTCAAGATCATCCCGCTGGACAAGGAGACAAACGAGCTGAAGGCCACGAGCATTCGTCTGGAGGACATGCACGTGCAGGATCTGGAGTTTCTCTATGGCTGCACAAATCCCACGCTCATTGTCATCCACCAGGATCTGAATGGGCGCCACATCAAGACGCACGAGATCAATCTGCGCGACAAGGAGTTCATGAAGGTGGCGTGGAAGCAGGAGAATGTCGAGACGGAGGCGTCAATGCTCATTCCCGTGCCCACGCCGCTGGGCGGCGCCATTGTCATTGGCCAGGAGTCGATTGTCTACCACGATGGCAACAATTACGTGGCCGTGGCGCCGCCGATCATCAAGCAGAGCACCATCAACTGCTACTGTCGCGTGGACAGCAAAGGGCTGCGCTATCTGCTGGGCAACATGATGGGCAATCTCTTCATGCTCTTCCTGGAGACCGAGGAGAATGCCAAGAAGAACCTGTACGTGAAGGACCTCAAGGTGGACCTGCTGGGCGAGATTTCCATCCCCGAGTGCATCACATATCTGGACAATGGGGTGCTCTTCATCGGCTCACGCCATGGCGATTCGCAGCTGGTGAAGCTCAACACGGTGGCGGATGAGAATGGCGCTTACGTGGTGCCGATGGAGACTTTCACCAATCTCGGGCCCATCACGGACATCTGCATTGTGGATCTGGAGCGTCAGGGTCAGGGACAGATGATCACGTGCTCGGGGAGCTTCAAAGAAGGCTCGCTGCGCATCATTCGCAATGGCATTGGGATTCAGGAGCACGCGTGCATCGATTTGCCGGGCATTAAGGGCTTGTGGGCGCTCAAAGTTGGCATCGATGACAATCCCTACGACAACACTTTAGTTCTTGCCTTTGTGGGACACACCAGAGTTCTCACGCTGACTGGCGAGGAGGTGGAAGAGACGGAGATTCACGGATTTCTAAGTGACCAGCAAACTTTCTACTGTGGAAATGTCGCCTTCGGACAGGTTTGTTCATGTTATTTTGCCATGGAAAAGCTGCAAAAGAGTGTGAGATATTATAAAAGACACTTTGCTTGCGTTGCTGTGGCTTTAGTTGATGTTGACATAAAACCACTGAAATTCAATTATCCCTTGATAACGATGGTAATTCTCTGCTCTTTATCAAATTCCCTTTGACCTGGGCATTTAATTATTCAAATGCAAGGTGATAAAGCTATTTTATGGTGCATTCTCTTGCCATAGCATAAAATCATTAATGCACCAGATAAATCTCAATTTATTGCACAATTAATCTGCTTCTTAACGACAAGTGGTGTGCATTAAATCCACATTACCACTGCTTTATGCCTCAATTGGGAGTGATTTATGCGCTTTCTGTCCTTCTGCAGATCATCCAAGTGACTCCAGTGACGGCGCGTCTCGTGCAGGCTCACAGCCGGACGCTGCTCAGCGAGTGGAAGCCGCCGGGAGACAGGCGGATCGGCGTGGTGGCGTGCAACTACTGTCAGCTCGTGTGCGCCTCGGCGTGCGACGTGTATTACATTGAGGTGTGCGAGGGGGCGCTGGTGCAGAAAGCTCAGGTCACGCTGGACTACGAAGTGGCTTGTCTGGACATCTCGCCGCTGGAGGAGCGTCAAACGCGTGCAGATCTGATCGCTGTTGGCCTCTGGACGGACATCTCAGCGTGTGTGTTCAAGCTGCCCAATCTGGAGTTGCTGCACACGGAGAAATTGGGCGGTGAAATCATCCCCAGATCGATTCTGATGACAGCCTTTGAGGGATACACTTACTTGCTGTGCGCTCTGGGCGATGGATCGATGTTCTACTTTGCGCTCAGCACATCGACTGGAGCGCTGAGTGAGAAGAAGAAAGTCACTCTCGGAACACAACCAACAATCCTCAAGACCTTCAGATCTCTGTCCACGACCAATGTGTTTGCCTGCTCAGATCGTCCGACGGTGATTTACTCGTCGAATCACAAGCTTGTCTTCTCCAATGTCAATCTCAAGGAGGTCAATCACATGTGCAGTCTCAATGCTGAAGCTTATCCGGACAGTTTGGCGCTGGCGACGAAGAATTCAGTGATTCTGGGCACAATTGATGAGATACAGAAGCTTCATATTCGCACTGTGCCGCTCGGTGAGACGCCACGACGCATTGCGTATCAGGAGGCCAGCCAGACATTTGGTGTCATCACGCTGCGAATGGACATTCAGGACTCTTCTGGACTCATCCCATCACGTCCCAGTGCCTCGACGCAAACCCAGAATGTCACGTCGTCGAACAATGTGGGATCGCTGCTGAAGCCAGGCGCTGGTGCGTCGGGAAGCAATGCAGAATTTGGACAGGAAGTGGAAATTCACAATCTTCTGGTGATTGATCAGAACACATTTGAAGTTCTGCACGCTCATCAGTTCACACAGTCGGAATATGCAATGTCGCTGATGTCTGCGAAGCTGGGAAATGATCCCAACACTTACTATGTCGTGGGAACAGCCATCGTGAATGCCGAGGAACCGGAACCGAAGGTGAGTGAGAAGGAATTAGCAGTAAAAAAAAGTCTCAATTGTGAATTGAAAAGACGAAAATCAAGTCTTGACCTTAAATTAAGATGTTTTTCCTATGAAAGTGAGACTAAAAATAAGTATTTAGGGAATTAAGAAACACTATTAACTGGGGAAAAGTAGAGAAATCGCCTTGTTTTCAGTTCATGAATGTAGAAAAAAGGTTAAATTTCTTAGGAAATTCATTTCAATAATGCTCCTTTCTTTTGCACCGACTTGTGCAGATTGGCAGAATCATCATTTATCACTATGCGGAGGGGAAGATGACGATAGTTGCGGAGAAGGAGGTGAAGGGCGCTTGCTACTCACTTGTGGAGTTCAATGGCAAGGTCCTGGCGAGCATAAATGCCACTGTGAGGCTGTTCGAGTGGACGAGCGACAAGGATTTGCGACTGGAGTGCAGTCACTTCAACAACATCATCGCCCTGTACTTGAAGACGAAGGGGGACTTCATCCTCGTGGGCGATCTCATGCGCTCGCTCACGCTGCTGCAGTACAAGCAAATGGAGGGGAGCTTCGAGGAGATTGCCAGGGACTTTGAGCCCAACTGGATGACAGCCATTGAGATTCTCGATGATGACACATTCTTGGGGGCGGAGAACAATAACAACTTGTTCGTGTGCCAGAAGGATAGCGCCGCGACGACGGACGAGGAGCGCCAGCAGATGCCGGAAGTGGCGCTCTTCCACCTCGGCGACATGATCAATGTGTTCCGCCATGGATCGCTGGTGATGCAGAATGTGGGCGAGAACACCACACAGACGTCCGGGTGTGTGCTGTACGGCACAATTAGTGGCGCCATTGGGCTCGTCACGCAAATTCCGCCCAACTTCTATGAGATCCTGAAGAATCTGGAGGAGCGATTGACGCACACGATCAAGTCTGTGGGCAAGATCAGTCACTTGACGTGGCGCAGCTTCCACACAGAGACGAAGCTGGAGCCGTGCGAGGGTTTCATTGATGGGGATCTGGTGGAGAGTTTCCTGGACTTGAGTCGCGACAAGATGAGAGAGACTGTCTTTGGCCTTGAGGTATGTTTTATTGCTATTTAAGCACAAATTCTAGCAGTTTGAGTACACAAAATAATGATTTAACACATGAAAAGGTCTTTAAAGTGTCTCAAAGGGAGAAAAGACAAATATTTGGCTAATTTCATGGCCGAAAAGAGTGATTTTCTTAAGTGATTTGCCCATTGATTGAAGGTGTATTAATTTTAATGAGGGCAAAAATTCCCTCATCCGTGATATTGATGTGCAATGTGGGTGTTTGTTTCGCTGGAGAATTGAATAATTGATGAATGAATCTGCTTTCTTTTTCTTACAGATTGAGGCTGAAGGGGTGAAGAAGGAGGCAACAGTTGATGACATTATAAAGATTGTTGAGGACTTGACGAGAATTCACTAATGTAATGGTGGTCAAGGAGTAAAGTAAGTAATATTTTCCCATCTTTCCTTTCCAGCTCTTTTGTTACATTGAATTTTCGAATAAACAGTAAGTTTCCAATGATTCAAGCCTGGTTGAGGATCTCTAAGTCTCTCTCTCTCTGTCTGGGGGTGGATTTGCCGAGATTGCAATGCTTTCGAATCGAAGTGCTCTTCATGCATCCTAAAGTCTGTACAGAATTGCTCTATCGCCCCATTTAACGCTCTGAGCGGGTGAAAATGTAGTGAATTGTATTATTAATTTCCATTCTCTACATTTAAATTGACACAATATGATAAATTGAGTGTGAATATATTCAATATAGAGGAGAGAGAACAGGTCAATTGTACTGAAAGGAAATACAACATTGAGACAGATGATGAAAATGATTTCTTTTCTTTTTTACTTCAGCTGAATTTACAAATTATGCTCAGTTGTTGAGGATTGTCTTGACAGGCTATCAATCAAAAAGTCCTTTTGGAAAGCTCAGTGCAAGGGGCAGATATTATGGCTGGAAGTGGTGTACAACTTCACGGAAGTGTTTAGGAATCAGAAGTGGTAAAATATATCGAGTATTTACACTACAAAACCTTCAATTGCAACAAATTGAGGCATTTTCTGCACAATTCTGTTGAGAAAAATCAATTTTATTGCTTTTTCTAGGTTATATGATTGTTTTAAGAAAGATTCTGGTGATTACAAAATCCTCAAAATCTCGAAAAATCGGTTTAATCTGGGATTATTTCTCTTTTTCCATCAAAGAAACATCATATTTAAGGTAAGAATTAGGTAAGAAAAAGCTTAAAAGTCAATCATAACCTCAAAAATTGTATTTCAGTCTAAAAAATTGTCTGTTTTTGCTTAAAAGTGGCAAATTTAACGTCTTTATCTTGTAGAAACATTGTGTTTTTTCGTCATATTCCCTAATTTTCTGGCGTAAAAACGTTCAAATTAGACGAAGAAAAATTTTCAAGTCGCTTTCATAACCTCACAATTTGATCAAACATTTTTTTTTTACTTTTTCTGAAACATAAAACTAGAAAATCGAGACCAAAATTTGCAATGAATGAATGAAAGAACAATTTAATCAATTTTTACAATCCAAAATCTAAGCATTTGAAGAGCTTAAAGTTCTTGAGACGGAAAAACCTGGATTAAATTTGTGAAACAGTTGAAGAAGTGTAAGAAATACGTTTAGAAGTGTTGAAGATTCTGCAGAGGAATTGCGGAAGTGTCTGAAAGTGGTGTACAGATTTGCGGCATATTATCTCCGCCTTGGCTCAGGGCGCGACTAAAGTCGATGTACTCATTTGTGAAAATGTAATTTCCTGTGAAATTTAATGACAAGTTCTCTCGTGCACACGGCGTTGGGCTTTTGAATAAAAATGCGCCTGATTATTCGGCGCTGAATGGCAGAGAAAGTGAGATTTGCGAGATGATTATCAAATTTAATAGCTCTGGAGCTTCAAATTTCTCTCAAGAGGAAATTCGTCTGTATGATAAATGTGAAGAAAAATGAAAGGCTTCGGCAGTGGTTAACGTCCAGCTGAGATTTACTGTTTGTTTAGGTCCTATTCTGGCTCCTGTTGTGTCCTCTTATCATAATGACTGTGAGAGTTTCGAAGGGATTAATGGTGAAAGGGCAAAGTTGGCAACCGGACAAACATTGTAAATTCAAACCCTTATTTACTTGGCAGTCAAAGAATGTCGTAAATTTGTCCTCTTTAAAAGAACTCCAGTCCAAAGAAAGAGAGTTCTTTAAGTGTCGAGGTTATTGATATTTCAAACTTTTCGTCCTTTTTTGCCTTGTCACTAAATTAAATTCATCGTCGTCACAAGGGGGAAGATTTATGCAATGCAAATAACGTCGTAAACATGTCGATTCTGGGCTTGAGTGTGAGACGTTTGAAGAATTGCGTGTAATTTGCCGCCGACTGACTCTGTGGGATAAAGTAAGTTTGTGACGCGCATTGACGAAAGGACTTCGCGAAGGTGATGCGCGTCTTGGTGGAAATTTAATAAAAGTCTTTCTATTATTATTCTTTTTAAGTACATTCAAGGATATAAACTTTTTATAGCCACTCCTTTATGAAGGTTTTTAATTCACTTCTCTGTCTATGACATTATTTTAATGCAGAGAGAAGAAAGGTGAGCTTTCCATTTGCGTAATGCGCTCTCTGGGTTTTTCCAGGATCCAAAGAAATGTGATATCATAGTGATATGCCTCACAATCCACTCGGTGATTATTCAAATTTCACCCAACACTATTTTACATATTTTTTTCGCCGCTTCCAGTTGAATAATTCCAATATATTATGCAGTAGATCCTCATGCCATTATTAGTAAATGAAATTGGGCGGCGCTCACGGTTTATATATCTTGGTCAAGGCGGAGATATTATGATCAAAAGTGGTGTACAACTATGTGGAAGTATTTGGAAGCGAAAGTGCTTCAATATGTTCAATATCATGCGTTTAAAAGTTACTTTCAAAAGAAATTAACACAATACTCGGAGAAAAAGAATTATTCATTATATTTTTCTAGGTTTTGTGATAAGTTAAAGACAAGCTTTGTCGCTGAATAACCTCCGAAATCATTCATTCTTGCACCTTTGCAATTTAGTGATACAATAATAAATGAAATCTAATGTTAAACTGCTAACATCGAACATAACCTCTAAAATATTGTTTCAAAATACAAAATTGTCTATTTCAAGAGCTGTTTGATTGATTTTCTACTCTGAAAAAGCAAATTTCAGCTTTTAGTCGATTAATTTTGCCTTTAAAACATTCCGAATATGTTTCATTCAAGAATTCTTAAAGATATCTCAAGGTAAATGTTAGGTTATGTGCCAAAGTATATCCAAAAGAGTTATTAAAAATTAAATCTCATCGAAATATCCGCTGGAAACTTCAAATATTTCAAAAATACTGTTTCTCCGTAAGTTTTTAGAGGCACCCAAGTAAAAATGTCGAATTTTTAGGTCAAAGATTCCTGAATTTGAGGTTATGATGGTTTAGGTGGTTGGAAAAATGTATGAAAACACACATTTGAGGCACTGCCAAAGTTCTGGAAGTGTCTGAGATTCTTCTAAAGAATTTGTGGAAATTCCAGGAAGTGGTGTACACTGTTTAGCCGTATTATCTCCCCCTTGATCCGTGGTGGTGTTTGTTGGACTGCTGAGAAAGTGCGGAAGTTTCCTCTAAGCCGAAGCTTTCAATCTCATCCCTTTCTCTGCACCATTGACAGTCGCGCTTTCCTTTTTGCTCTTTCTAATGCACAATTATCTCAAGTTTTAATTGCGCTCCGCAAAGTGCGGAAATGCTCTTGAGTGAGTAAAGATCACAATCTGCCGACTTTATGTCTGTTGAAATTCAATTATTACGCAGTTGAGAGCGGGCATTCTTAATTAATTAAATTATTTGTGTTATCGTGATTTATCGCTCTCACCGGCGTCAGGCGGTTTTCTCCTTGAGACTCCTGAGACACCGGGGGAAAAGGGACATTCGTGGATGGCAAGAAGTGAAGAGGAAAATTGAATAATGACGCCACTTTTGCGATGACTCACGCTTTATGTGTACACATTGTCTCTCTCTCTCTCGATGTGTAATTTATCGATGATAATGCATGAAATCACAAACACCTGTCGCACTCCGTGATAAATCACGCTTTGACTGGAAGAAGTGTTTAATATGAATAAAGTGAGAAATGCGTGAAAATATGTTTTTTTTCTGATCTGCCCAAAAAATTCACAACAAAATCCTCGCTCGATGTTTTTCCACCGCCAGATCTGTTGCGCTGTGGCTTTTTCCGTTTTTCCCGCCTCACGTGCATTGCGGCGAGAGGCGCAAAATGAGATATGATATTGATAAGACAAGTGTGAGCTTCCTGCTTTTGTTTCCATCCCTCGCCCTAAATTGGATTTAATAATCCCAAAAGGGTGATGCGAGAGTGGCGGTAAAATGCCGAATTTTCATGCAGCACTTTTTCTAATTGAATTGCTTCTGTTAGAGCTAAAAGCGTGCCAACTTTCCCACGGAAGAGGCGTCAATATCGGGGTATGTGTGTGTGTGTGTGGTTTTTGATGAAACGACGAAACTTTAATTAAATTTCAATGGGGATTTCAGAGGTGCGCGCGACAAAGAGCTTTTCAACACTGCGGCTAATACTGCAAATGGATGGTGGCTTTAGTCTTCACTTTTCTCATCAAATTACCAACTGAAAATGGATGGAATCGATGGAATTATATCGCCAAGTGAGCGCAATGCATGGCAAAAAGCTACATTTTTGCGGAACAAGAGTCACGGAGAGAAACCTCAGATGTGATTGATAAATCACGGAAAAAATAGAACAATTTAATATGCTCAATTGATTGTCGGATGTTTTGCCGTTCTCCAACATATATATGGATTTCCTGTAATTCCATTATCGGAAAGGAAATGGAATTGTTTTTGGTTGAATTGGAGGCGAAACAGAAGAATGTTTTTTTTTTCCTCCACTTTTTGCATGCGCGATATATAAGAAAAAAATATATATAAAATACTCCCTCAGCTTCTCAGTGTGTCACTTTCACTCTATATTGCTGGGAATTCTTGATTCTTCAGGCGGAAAAGAAGTTATAAAGCGCCTGTGTTTTCGCGTGCGTGGCACAAAGCACTTGTCATAAATTCATAAAGTCTCTCATAGTTTTGCGGAAGGTGTTGTTTATGATAGCGAAGCCTATCAGGCGCACATAAAGTGTGTGGCAGGAGCAAGATGATTCCCTGATGAATAAAATATGCTAAATGCGCGACTCGTCAACCTGCAAATCCTATTGTGCCTTATCACTGTGCTCTGTTCGCAAATTTAATCATAAAAGTTCTTTATACAATCTTTAAAATGGACTTTTTGTGGGATTTTGCACATTTCAAAAGTCTCTCTGTCGCTCGGAAAATTCAAACGAAGTACTGAGAGGTTTTCCCACAAAGCAGAAATTCAATTTTTCATCCTCCTTTTCATCCCTTGATTTCTCGTCCAGCCCAGAAGGCAGAAAGACTGAATGAAGTTTGCGCTTTTGCAATGCAAAATTTCAATCAGTACAAGAGGCGAAATTAATTAAATAAATTGCAAATTGCCTTAAAACACATAATTGTTCAATAAAGTGTTTATATTGCTCTGTAATAATTATTTTGTGAATATTTCAGTTGATTTTTTTTGGTATTTATTGGAATATTTGACTAAAATATGGCAAAGTCGATAGAAAAACTGAAAAAATTGTTTTAATCCTAAAAAGTCCATTTTTAAAATTTTTTCTAAATTCATTTTCAAGCTTTTCAAGTGAACAAATTTAAAAACACGACAAATAATCTATCAATTCAAGTTCTAAAAAAATTTTTTGGAAAATTCTGAAA